GACTTACACTCAGAGCAAAGTACGCCTCTTCCTCCTGACTAGCTCCCTCGCTTCTCAGAGGTATATACCCCGACATGCTACTCCATGCTCTTCCGAATGGGTTTGATGATTGTTGGGCAGCTGCTGCTTGCTGTGCCGAGTCGTCTTGGACGGAATTGGCCCATCGGAATCCGGAGAGCTGGGAGCGAAAGTTGCGCTGGGCCGAGTCGGTCATGGTGGCGAGATGATGATCTTAAAGAGTAGTCTGAGCAGGAGACTTAGATGAGAGTGATGTATAGAGTTTGACTGAAATTGTGAGAAAAAGACAAACAGAAGAGGACAATAACAAGCGTATCCTTTGGGGACTGATGACGTTGTAGTACAACATTTGTTCCCGCTAATCAACATTTGGTTCCGCTTAGAACACAAACTGGATTACAATCGGGTACCCGACCACCAACTTTTTCAGTCAGCTATACCGTCGACATGTCCATGAACCACCCCAAGCCACGCCAAATCCGTCTTCCGTTCGACGTCCCAAAACCCACCAAAAGTGTCCCACAGGCGAGGATCTGTGGAATGTAAGGCTCTCTTCCTAGGTCGTACACATGAGCTGACTCGTCATGTTATAGATGTCGGAAGGGCGACAGCAGGTATACTTGTCCCCGGTGTAATGTGGCATATTGCTCTTTAGACTGTTTCAAATCAGAGGTAAAGGATATTCCATGTGTTTAGCGGTCTGTCGCTGATATCTGCTCAAGGCCCACGACCAATGTTCCGAACCATTCTACAAGACCACCGTCCTCGACTCCATCTCTGCCGACCCCAAAGTCGGGCTCGAAGAGAAAAAGCAGATGATGGACATGCTACGCCGTTTTGAAGAGAAAGAGGCGGAAGGTGGTAATGGACTGGAAGAGGTCGGAAGCGAGGCGGAGGATGAAGATGAAGAGTTGATCAAGTTGTTTGAAGGGGTCGACATTGGTAAGCTTAATCTCCCAGCGACGAGTCACCTAAACTGATGAGAGTCTCAGAGTCGATGGGAAGTAACGACATATTCAAGCTCCTACCTCCGAAACACCGCGAAGCATTCATCCAAGCCCTGCAAAATCCGGATTCTGAAGATACGAAAGCGCTTCTGGAGGCAGCGTCTCAAGATCTGTTGCCACAAGCGCCAGATGTATTGCCCTGGTGGGAGACAGAGGCTTCTTGGGCAGAGCGCAACCGGGAGGACGAGAGTGATGGACCGAGAGTTGCAGAAGAGCCGGAGACGATACCGGAATCTGTATTGGAGGGTATAAACCCTCCAGACCGTGTGGGCAAGAAACTTGCCTATAATGCTATAGCTCTCAGGCGAGTCAAATAGTCTACACTTCCCAAATCATCTAAGCTGATCATGATTTACTTTAGCATGGCCTACCTGCACACCCTCCTATCCTACCGCCTCCCCTCCCTCCACCCAACACATCTCAAATCCCAAGACGTCGAAGCATCCGAGCTCAAAGCATACTTTGGCCTGCTCACGCCATTCTTGGTCGAACCGAAATCGACTACCCGGCATGAGAGTCTAGGGTCAGCATGGGGCAGTGTGTGGGAAGCTATATCGTCTGATACGGATGTGCCGCCGTTGGCTGAGACTTTACGACATTTGTTGGGTTTGATACCGGATCTTTTGCATCCGCCGATTACTACGCCAGCGTACCCCCGAGTGCTTCTGATATTGTCGGATTTATATGGGCTGTTTACTATACCACCTGGGAAAATTGGAGGGGCGGTGCCGAGGAAGGTGGCGTTCTATGTGAAGGCTTTGAGACAGATGGACAGGACCGAGTGGTTACACCTGGAGAGCGAAATTCAGAAGGAAGTCGAGAAACTGGAAAGAGAGAGTGGAGAAGGCGAAGTGAAGGAGGAACGGAGAGAGAGGCTGGAGATTGTATAGCACGTTGGAGACGTCCAATAACATATGCAAGAATCCATGCAGCATCTAATAAACCATATTCTTACCCCCACTGCCCAACCACTTCTTGGTCGCCTCTGACCTGGGGTTCTTTGACATCTGACATCTCGACAAGAGCTGCTGGCTGGCAGGACCTATCAGACCAGCGTCATAGTCGTTGAGGTGGGTGGAGACGATGTCGGCGAGGGCGCGGATGAAGATGGGGTTGTCGTTGAGTGAGGCGGCTCGGGTGAGGTGTACGCCAAGCTACTTTTCGTCAGCGATGCAAGTCGTTTGAGGAAAGGAAATGCACCTTTTCAGCATCTTCCGCCACCTCCTGGTCCAGCTCGAACAGCGTCTCGATGTGGTCACTCGTGAACGCCACGGGCACCAAACAGATGTTCTTCTGACCCTGCTTGGCATATCCTTCGATGGAAGCTGCTGTCTGAGGCCCCTGCCAGGCTTTTGGTCCGACCTTGGATTGCCAGGTAAGACGCCAGGGATTGGAAAAGTTGAGCTTTTGCATGATGGCCCAGACGGTAGCGGCCACTTCCGCAGTGTACGGGTCTCCCCGGCTTTCCTACATGTCAGCTTTTGCAACAATCACATAGGAGATGGGGCTCACTTGACAATCTCCAAGGGAAGGGAGTGGGCAGAGAAGAGGATGGTGACGTTGTTCCTGTCTTGTTCAGGGTATGCTTTCAGAGCAGTTTTGATATTGTGCGCAAAAGCCTCGACCAACCCCGGGTGGGTCGGCCACCTGTCAATGACACTCCATTCCACCTCTCCCGCACCTCCCCATTTCTCCTGCTTTGCGACTCTATACAGCTCATTCAGACTACTTCCTGTAGTGGAGCAACTGTACTGAGGATACTGGCTGAACGCCACAGCCCGCTTGACACCGTCGGCCTTCATCGCTGCCAGTGTCGTCTCGGTGAGGGTCTTGGCATATCGGAAAGCGACATATGGCTTGTGAGGAGCTGATTCAGGGTTGAGTTCATCCAAAAGGGCACACATGCCAGCGCCTTGGATCTGGGTCCATTTGAGGATGGGCGAGCCACCGCCGATGGAGGCGTATTGCTCTTCGATAGTGGGTGTACGACGCTTGGCGATGAGGGGTCCAAGGATGGATTGGAATGGAAGGGGAATTAGGTCGTTGTCGTTGAAGAGACGGGTGAGGAAGTCGTTGACTTCGCCAACCTGTTCGTGTGGTCAGAAAGTGACGCGAGTGGCTGAGTTTGAGCTTACGGTTGAGGGGCCGCCCATGTTCATCATCACGACAGCTATAACATGTTAGTTTTAGCCTTCACTGATACTTGTACTTCATACCTGTAGGTCTAAGTGTGCGGTCAGTAGATAATCCATGTACACTTGAACGACTCACGGCTTTGCAGCATTCGAGACGAATCTCGGCCGCAGAGGAGCGAGGGCTCTCCTGGAGCAGGCCTGGAATGCGAGCGGTCTGTTGAGGGCGGATATGGGCCTTGCGAGGACAGCCATTGCTGTAATGTTTTGAATGGAAGAGAAGATGAGAATAAAAAGCAGTCAACGATGACAACGACCACCATCGCCGCAAATCGCGATCGTCCTTCGGTAAACCGCGTTGTGCATTTACGTAACTCGGACCTCCACCCGGCCATGTCCACTTGCAATTACGGTGTTCACACCTGCTCTCCATGTATTTCCGACTCGGTCAAGATGACCTTCCCTGGCTGGATAGTTGCTCTCGTGGTACCACCACTATTGCTGCTCAAATCTCGTCCCCTTCCCTCACGTGAAACAGTGATCCCTCCGAATCAAGAGCGCGTCCTCCTTCTCGGTGCGAGCTCTGGTGTCGGCAAAGACCTCGCTTTGGCGTATGCTTGTAAGGGTGCCAAGCTGTTCTTGATGGCAAGGAGGGAAGACGTTCTTCAGAGTGTGAAGGAGGAGTGTCTGAGTGTGGGCGGAGAAGGTGTAGAAGTGCTCGTCTTCGCCGGAGATGTGACGAATGCCGAAGACTTGGTTGCAGCTCGCGACATGCTCGTAAAGGGTGAACATCCCTGTTCCTATATGCTTATTTATACTGATGAGTACTGTTCCTAGCATGGCAAGGAGTCGACACAGTTCACATCCTCGCCGGCCTTCCTTCAACCTCTCAACTCTTGGAGCTCGGGGGTGTTTCTCTCGACCGCTCTACCCCCGAGAACTCTCCTCCTTCTGGAGCTAAACTCGCATATAGCTCGTCCGAGGGACCAAGTCTGGATGGTATGAAGGCCATAGAACACGAGGCCAAAGCTGTATCTCATGTCAACTATCTGGGAACTGTCTTGTCTTTGAGCTGTTTCGTAAGTGCGCTATGATCTCTGGAAGCTGGGCTGACATAATCTCCAAGCTTCCTCTTTTGGCATCGTCTTCAAAGTCTCCCGTCCTGCACCACCTTTCGTCCGTCGCTGCGACTGTACCCGCCCCTCACCGCGTCATCTACGCCGCTACTAAAGCGGCCGCTCTGCAGGCTGTCGAGAGCGCCAGAGTCGAATGCGAAGGCTGTGGTGTGCGATTCTTCTGTCAGTTGTCAGCCTATCATTACGCAAAAGCGCTGACGGGAGTACAGCTTTGTGTCCGGGGACTATCGACAATGGCTTTAGACTCAAGACTGCTGATTCCCAGACCGGCGGGCGAGACGAGACCAAGCTTGCGATCAAGGACTCCTGGGAGAAGCTCCTCCTCAGCCCAAAGACAGGTGCGTATCATTTCTGTAGCAAACGCAAAACTGTGACTGATTCGTACCAGTCACCGACACGATCCTATATCACCTCTCTCTCTCTCCCGCCCCTCAGCCCCTCATCCCATACCCACCTTTCAACTTTTTCCGTGCTCTGGATCAGCCTCCAAAGCACCTTGTACACCTCCCGCTCACTTATAGGTTTGCGATGTTTGTGAGGGATACTCCTCTGGGGTGGGGCTACATCGAGCCTGCGGCGAGGAGAAAGTATGGATTGGTGGGCAGGGCTTGAGTGGTCTGGTGTAACACATGAATACAGCGAGGATTCTTTTCGAGATTTGGCTCTTTATTTCGTACCCCCTAGCCAGCAGGGCCTTACTGCATGTATCATCTACGTCGACTCAACCACAGTGTAGTAGTTGTGGCGATAGCAGCGCCCAAAGCAAGACCACTCACACCCCACACCCCTTCCGGCCCAACCTTCCCCTTGAGCCCTTTCCACCACCCACTCCCGATCTCCCCTTCCAGATCACTCGGCCCGAGCACGACACCCTTCTCCCACCCTTCCTCCAGTACTCTCGTCCTCGTCGGCTCATCATTAAACCTCCCCATCTCCGCCAGTCCCCACTTGTCACAAGTCTGCTTCATCCAATCCATCCTCCTCTGTCCTCGCTCTCCTCCCACACCCGGCGCCCTCTCTCTCAGATCCCTGCGCAAAGCACCAACGCCCTGCAAGCTTGACTCGACATCGGAGGGGAGGGCATCGACGATGAGGTCTCGAAGCATGGCACCGGCTCGAGGGCCCATACCGCCTGTGGAGATGAGGATCTGCAGCGGTCCCCTTCGCATTTGCGCCCCAAAGTAGAAATCGCACTGTGGTGGTATATCCGCCACATTCACCATCACCCTCGCTTCTCTACATATCTCACAAACTTCTTTGGAAAGATCGTTATCGTCGATCGCAGTCAAAACCAAATCAAAGTCTTTCACTTTGATTTCATCTTCCCGGCCCTTGAATTCGCGGGCGAGGTGGGTGAATTGGGAGGCAGTGTCGGGGTGGGAGATGTAGTGGGCAATGGAGGGGTCGAGGGGGAGGGGGGCGATGAGGGTTATGTGGGCACCAGATTCGAGCAGAAAGTAGACTCGGGAGGCGGCGACTACGCCTCCGCCGATGAGGAGGATGGGGCGATCTTGGAGGCGAAGGGCTAGGAGGAGGGAGGCGCCTTGGTGAATTGGGGGGTAGGAGGTGGACGGGAGCTACATATCATTAGCTTCTGAGAATTATACCATCGACCTCGACTCACAGAAGCGATGGAGGCGTCTTTCGGAATAGTCGAGGGGCCGACAGCTCGTTCAGAAGCCATTGTGTTGATATTTGCGGGGTTTGTTCAAGCTCAGTGGGTAGTTGAGATACTATGCACCCGTATGATATTGGGAATGATAGATGTCTCAGAAGGTGTTGAGATATACCAGTTGACAGAAAGTTCAAAAGTCTGTCAAAAGTCAATGAAGCTGATGAACGCACATAGATCGGGACAGTCAAATGACCTTTCGCACTTTTCCTTTTAAAAGTACAAGACGGACTGTTTGGCTCGGCTGCGACTGGCTCAGCATTCGGGGTCAACGGGGGGGACGTTTGCACCACAGCCAGACATGCAGCTATGTAAAAGGTACATTCCCCCATTCGACTTATGCAGTGATACATGCATGCATGGGCAAGAACAACGACTCTACATGAATCTACATCTCGGGCGCCTCCCGCCGTTAGATATGTGGGTGATCGCCATCTCCCCCTTTTTATTTTGCTTACTTCTTATCTTGTCCCAAGCCGGCAGCACTAGAATATGATATCAGTAACTGGAGATTGACGCAAGACGAAGGGGTACTCACTGATTTGTAGCCACCTGGATAGCACGGGCCATCGTTGATCTCACTCGGCCGTCCTCCATCGTCAACAAGCCAGCCATGGTACAGCCACCGGGAGCTGAAAAAAGTGATGAATCGTCAATTGCAAATCCAGTAACAAAAGCGGAATACACCTACTGGTGACGCTGTCTTTCAGCTGAGCAGGGTGCTGGCCACTGAAGAGGACCATACGCCCGGTTCCTTGCATAGCTAATCACCCATCAGCTTTCCCCATCTCTACAAATCAAGTCTGGACTCACTTTGGGCGGCCAGCTCGATAGCCTCAGATCTTGGTAAACCCATCATCACTCCTCCATCCGTCATCGCCTCCAAGACCAGCGCTACGAATCCAGGACCCGACCCAGCAAGCGCGGTCGCAGCGTCAAAGTGCTTTTCGTCCAAGAATCGACATCGGCCACACGAAGTGAAGATGTTGAGGATGAGGGTACGGGAGAAGGCGTCGGAAACGGGAGTAACGACGGTCATACCTTCTCCGATCTGATTGATCAAAATTTAGCGGGATCTCCATGAGGCGAGGTGCGGGAGGAAAGACTTACTTTACAGGGAGTGTTGGGCATGGCACGCACAATAGTGGTGCTTTGGGGCACCCAGCTCTTCAACTGCGAGATTTTCAAACCCGCGCAGATGGAGATCACCAGCTTGCCCTCCAACGCCTTGCCCATACCCTCTTGCTCCAAGATCGACTTTGCGATATTTGGCTTTGAGCACACCAACACCACATCAGCTTCTTGCACCGCCTTGACATTCCCATCCCCAGCGTGTATGTCGACGCCTTGGCCGAGCTTGCCGATGTCGGCCAAGGTCTTGCGGAGTTTGCGGGCAGTCTCTTCCCGCCCTGTTGTGGCGATGAAGCGGCTGGGGAGAGAGGCTTCGGGAGCGTCAAAGAATTGGGAGGCGGTTGGAGTGGAGATGCCGGAAGGGGGCTCGTCGGAGGAAGAGGTAAGCTTGGGGGGGAGGGACTGGCGTTCTTCGAGGGAAGAGAAGACGCCGGAGAGGATGGCGACGCCCATGGTACCGCATCCGACGACAGCAAGAGTATAGCCCATTTTGTTATGTGTAGTAGAGATCAGGGATAGGTTGAGGCGATGGGCAAAATGAAACAAGAAACGGTCAGAACGGACACAAGAAGGAAGATTGGATGGAGATAAAGAAGGAAACGACGGAGTCATGATTTCGCTTCGGCAACGCGGGGCAGGCGGGGCTCGGCGGGTTGCCGCAATACCGCATCGACTCAACTGTGGCACCTCATTCTCGTCAGATCGCTTCGCCATGCATGGAATGCACAAAAGAGCACGCAGGCAATACAAGACAATGATGTGCATCACATGATTAATCATTGAACTCGGAAATACCCAAAAAAACGCCAGCCACCCTAGAGGTCACTCAACCCCATCTACTTGACCTTCTCCCTGACCACCTGCTCATCCGTCTCCTCCAAAGACCTCAACACAACCTTCTTCTCCTCAATCGCATTGTGCGTGTCGCTGAGGAAGAAGTTGCTCTTGCAAAGTCCCGCAGCAATGGGCAAAACACACAACACCAAAGCAGGCAGCTCCAGATACCACGCCGAATCGAGGTACGCCTTCCTCAGCAGGTCTCTGTGCTCGGTGACAGCGCGGGCTTTGGTGATGGAGCCGTAGATGGCGTCGAGCTGGGTAGAGTTCATGTACTGGCCGAGGTTGGCGCTGAGGTGTTTGGGGAGCTGATTGGCCCAGATGGCGGCGGCAATGGCGGAACCGATGGCGCCCCCGATACGGGTCCAGAGGGCGAGGAGGGCCATGGCGAGGGCGAGGTCTGTGTGGGGGACCGAGGCCTGGGTGGCTACTTGGGAGTCAACGACGGAGCAGGCACCACCCATAGAGATGAGGACGAGACCCATGATGAGCATCGCGTCGCTGTTGAACAGTCAGCATGGAACAGAGGAAGAGATGGGTGGCATTCGCTTACCCAGTGTGGCCTCGGGTGGAAGTGTAGACGAGAGATTGGCCGACAAGTCGGGTGCAAAGACCGAAAAGTTGAAGGTACTTGTATCGATGAGTGTACTTCTGGATCAAACCAGCACAGACAGTGATACTATTCCTCCATCAGTCTCTGTCTCTTTTGATAACAAAAAGTCACTCACATGTTGGACCAGTACTGGTAATCACGGGCAGACCAATCGACAATTAAATCCAAGAAGAGTAGTAGGTACTGTGAATGTAGCCAGAGAGTAGTAGCTAAAGTCGATGATGCAAAAGCAGATAAGGGATCTGTTGAGGATTCGCTTGGGCATGAGAGGGTGGGAGGCAAATTTCCATTCCCACACGATGAATGAGATCTGGAGAAGACCACCAACAATGAACATGGTAATGAGCGAAGCTTTCAAAAAGTCAGCAGTGTACTTGTATGTGCGATGGAGACTGACGGTTCTTGAAGCCCTTGTCGGCAGTCTTGTAGAGGGTGAATGGCAAAAGCATCAAAGCCCATGAGAAGGCCATCAAAAGGAGACCAAAGGCGTCCATCTGTGTGTCTCAGTCTTGTCGAGGACGGGGACATGCTCGCCACCCTCTTCGAGGATCTTGCCATCGGGGAGAGGCTTCTGGGTGTGGTTCTCGGTGTTGGAGTGGACGAACGAGGGACGCTCAGAGGTCGAAAGCTAGGAGGATTGGCGTTTGGTCGCCATTTGGAGGATCTAGTGAGTGCAGCCAAGTCGAAGGTGGATGGACCGATGGAACGCTGCATGTCATATATAGCCTGGAGCTCGGCTTGGACTCTTGGAGTTCCCCGCAGCAGAGGCACCGAATAGAATACGACAAAATTACCCCGGCAATCATTAAGCCAAACTGGAATGTCATTAGTTGGGGCAACGCACCCTGGTGTCCGTAAGAGACGAGAAGATGCAGGATGCAGAATAATTTGTCGGAGCAAACGAAACAGGTACCCGCCGATGATCTTTTGTCGATGGCTTCAGCCAACAGCCAAGCTCCTTTCTCATTCTCCTCCACTAGTTTAATCTAGTCACTAGTCACCTTGAGCACCAGAGGTACGGTTTGACGGAATCTACTTTGATACGTGGTACACGAGCGAAAAGTTCCGAGTGGGCCCCAAGATCGCGGCGGCGGTGTCGGAGCTGCACCATCGCAGGACGACATTTTCGGCAGCAGATATTCCCAGCCGGTACCATCAACACTTCACGCACTATCAGTGTAGAGTTGAGCTCCTAGAGATGCAACTGAAGATGCAAAAGAACACAGGACGTGAGATGTACCCAGCGGTCGACATGCAATGATGACAGAAGTTTATGCCTTATCGCAAGGGAAAACATATTATGAGATCTTGTACATTCATATGTTGTGGTGCGTGCGAGCCTATCCCAGCACTACGTGATGATTGGCCTTCGTGAATGAGCTAGATTGCAATACTCCCATGCGAACGACTTGACCTTTTGGGACTTCGAGAGACGAGCGTTGTGAACGGCATCTGAAGGGGACTGAGGTGATATGATGTGTCCTTTGTGGTCAGTACGTCTCCCTCGCCTAATTTGAGATCTCGGTGGAAAACGGCGCATACTGTTTTACTAGGCGCCATGAAAGGGATATCTTGTATATACCCTATACAACAAAGATCTCCAAGTATATATAACAGGACCATCACGCCGATAGACATCATCAATTGTCCCTCATCAGCAGCAACAACGATATGAGCTCATCACATCCCAGAGACACAAATTCCACTCCCTCCCAGCAGGATACTACTACGGACGGCGCCAACGCCAGTAGCAGCACATCCAGAAACCGTCCTCAAACGCCATACAACCTCTCCACCACCAGCGGTCCCACTGCTGGGGGCACCTCCCCAGCATCCCAATACTCTGCTTCCCCCGCATCCGTCTTCTCTCGCTCTGCCAATTCTCCCACCACCACCCGCCGTTCCCAGCACCGGCCGTACGACCACGGTCGGACTGCCAGTAATGCGACGGCCGTCACAGTGCCGGATGTGGACCCACAGCAGGCAGCGCACCAGGCCAATATACAGAACATGGTGCATCAGGGGCATTTCAATCCGCATAATGAGGAGGAGGAGGTTCAGGATGATATTGGGGAGTTTATTGATGATATGTTTCCGGAAGGGCAGGATGGAGAGGGAGGTCAGGATGGGGGTGGTGGGACGACGGCCTAAACGATCATTGGGCACATGTTGATATCTCAATTTGTACTATGCATCAGTAACCTGTTGAAAAGGTTGAATAGTTTTCATAGATAAAGAAGAAGGAGAAGACATCTGGAAACTAGAGTACCATGGAACACTCCAGCCGTCCAGCGCGAACATCCGGCGGCCATCTCCGCAATCCTTTCTTCCAACATATATCTACTGTTCAGTATTGAATGAAGGTAAATACTCGTTCAGTCGATGTTCATCTTTCAGTGGGGTCCAATTGCAAGTTTTTGAAGATATAAAGGAGGACAATATTCTCGCTGCTGCCATGTCCGTTGGAACTGGGCAGAAGTACTGTGCTTCCTTTGCCTCTCAGTCGGAGGTCCACTGCTGTCTTCCCGCCGAGTTGAAGTCTACTACAACAATTCACGTTGCGCTCGCAACATAGCCCTCAGAAAGGCCGCCCGTAGATCGACTCCGCTTTGGGCGGTCAAGCTTTGCAGTAGAGCAGGTAAATAACCATGAAAAGGAGTGCAAGAGCCATTCTATCACATGTCTTTTGTCTTGATCTGTCGAGACAACGATGTCAGCCGCTGGAAGCACCACTGCAGATATCAGCACGGACGCCGAGACCCCCCTTAGCCGTCCTCATACTCCTCCCAATCGCTCAGCTGCCCCGACCACCGATGGCTTCTCCGCTCCCATTTCCTAAGCATTCACCTCCCCCGAGTCCGTTTTCTCCCGCCCTGGAACATCGTACCGTGGCCACGGACGAGCTCTGAGTGCCACCACCAACATATCTGAGCTTGACGAACAGGGTCCCGCGCCCAACCCTGTGCAAGAAGCTCAGCCATCAGCAGAACGTCCCGCACCCGGGGCAGGTCCAGGAGATCACTTAGCCACAAACTCATGGCGGTTTGATCCTGCCAACGAGGATGGAAATGTAGCGGATGACATGGCGGATTTCATGAATAGGATGTGTGGGTCGGGAGGAGACGGCAAACAGGGTGGACAAGGAGGCAGTGGGACCGTGGTCTAGGGGAGGGACGTGATTGATAAATCTTGCATGCATGCTTGTATTATACTTCCTACAGTCCAATGTCAAAACCCTACAAGTAGTCAGCAAGGTTCATCATGGAGTATTTTCCTGCGTACCATGTCAATGTGCGATACACGTATTAGAGAATGCTTGTCTATCATCGTTCGTTTTCATTATAACAGGCAAGGCCGAGCCCCCATCTTCAACAAGAGAAAAGAGAAGCGATCCGAGTGCGTGTTTTTGTGTCGTTCGAAATCATTATAGCAGTGTCGTGAACAAGATGGACAATGTAATGGTGGCAAGAGCCAGAAGGTGACCCGATGCGTGGTCCCATCTTGGCTGCCCAGCGTTGCTGGATTGCAGGGATCCGCCATCACCTGCGGTGGAATATGCGGTGTAGGTATAACCTGCTTCGACTGTGACGTGGACGGCTTTCGTGATGGTCTGGATACTACATCAGTAATCACCCTGCCTTGAAAGACGGGTACGTACTTCGACGACATCTGATGTGCCGCCAGTCTGGTCGGTGGTGGGGTTGGTCTGGGTGACAGTGACAATTACGACACCCCCGTCGCTACCCGTTGAAGCCCCGGGATTTGTTGCAGTCACATAGACCGTCTCCACTAAACCGCATAAGTATACTGCTTTAAATTACATATGCTGGGACTCACGATCTGCGTTTGCAGTTGCCAAGCTTGTAGCAGCCGCCTGCGTCGAGCTAGCCTGGTTTGCCGTGACCACCACCACCACCGTCCTGACACCCTGCCCTGTCGTGGTTGATCCAGCCGAGTCGGTTGTCGTGAACGGAGTGCTGTAGGTGTTGGTGGCCGTGACTGTGATGGGGATATCGGCCGTGGAAGAGGGAGAGGGTATGGATGTAGCAGCGGCAGCGCTCGAGCTGGAGGAAGCAGCATTAGAGGTGGGAGTGACTGCGATACCTGCGCTGGTGGTCGAAGGGTTAGAAGAAGACGAGTCGGGACTGGCGGATGAACTCGATACCCCTGCCGATGTTGACCCAGAGACGAGGGAGGACGTGTCGGCTACAGAAGAGGCACCAGTAGGTTGGGAAGTAGATGCTGACAGACTTCCTGATCCCGAGCTGGTACCAGAAGGCGTCACAATGACTCCAGCGGACGTGCTTTCGGAGGGCGAGGCGGACAAAGTAGTGGAGCCAGAGGTTGACCCTGATACACTTGATGTCGCTGTTGCTGATGACCCTGCTATCTGAGAGCTCGATTGTGCGGAAGCTGATGGGGAACCCGATGACACAGATGATGAGGCGGGAGACGAAGAAACAGGAGATGATGAGGAACCGACAGAAGACCCCTGCGCTGAGCTGCTGCTTATCTGAGAGTTTGACAGAGAGGAGCTGGCGGGCGCTGATGTGGCTGACGCCAAGCTTGTGGGGGAAGAACTAGCTGGGTTGGAGCTGACTGGGGTAGAGCTGGCTGGCGAGGAGCTGGGAGCTTGGCTCGAGGTAGCTTGGGAGCTGGCAGCGGCCGAGATTGTGCTCGCAGAGCTCGAAGATGCAGCGGCAGATGACTGAACAGCCGAGGACGATGATGATGAGCCAGTCGCCGAAGAGGAAGCAGGCGCCGATGTGCTGGGTGACTGTGAGGCCGAAGAAGGCGAGGCCGACTGTGTCGCAGAGGATTGTGAAGTAGATGGGGAAGCGCTTTGAGCCGCACTACTCGAGCTGTTGTCGGAGCTTGATACAGCTGAGCTTGATTGGGTAGAGGAGGTTGAATCTTGAGATGTTTGTGATGTAGAGGCAGCTTGTGAGCTCCTTGTCTCAGAATCCGTGGACAAAGTCGACGTCGAAGGGGTAGCCGACGCAGTCGATGTCGGGTCTTCACTTGAGGAGACAGTGGACAATGCGTCAGAGCTGTGTCAAATTTAATTAGAACTCGGACCATTGAAAGATGATTGGGAGGCCTCACGCTGCGATGGATTCTGTGACAGATGTCGCCGCCGATGTACTTCCAGATGATTGGGCCTGATCTGCAGACAAGTCTGTGATTAGCTGCGTACACCCGGATCACTTGACGAATTCCGGGCGCAAGAACGTACCTCCAGCATCTTCTTGTCTCTTCACAAACTGCCCCCTACTAGTTCTCCCCCACTCCCTTGTCTGCAAGACACCGCTTCTTGATCCAGCAAGCTCCGGCGAAGGCGCAGCCAGCACCTCCAAGAGGGACATTAGTACCACCAGGGCTGTTGCGGTCTTCATCGCTGATGAGGCTCTTGGGGGCGGCCCTTTCGGATGAGACGAGATAGCGCTATCCCTGACAACGAGGGTCTGTGGGAAAACGAGCAAGAGAAGGCCAAGATATGCGATGCCGCATACGGCAATATGAAGTGTTGCGAATTTCCTGAGGTTAGTCGCCATCGCCTAAAAAAACCCGTGTCGCGTACGTTATCGCTGGAAATGATGTCACGACGCTCGGATGAGCGAGGCGATGGCCATGTTGAGTGACCACTCCCGCCTGCAAAGAAGCCAAACAGCGGCTTCAAGCCTGTCTATCCCCTCAGTGAGTATCTGTGCATTATGTATCCTTTCTTGTGATCCTTTCAGTCAAGTGCCGACTCAGCGTCATTTTGTCTGACATTTTACAAATAGGCTTACTCACCAACCTCCTTCAGACTTTGTCCCTCAAAACCCGCTTGTACTCATCGACATGTCTTCTTCTTCAGCCTCTTCCATATCTGATATTGTACTCCCTCTCGCAAACGTCACTCTCACCCCCCCCGGCCAGTCGACCCCAGCCAGGGCCACTCCCTCTCAGCTATCGAGCCTCTCCAGAGCCCATAGGACCCCGCCAAATCCTCCCAAACAGACGACACCTTACCGCCTCTCTCCCCATAACTTGAGATGCACTGGATGCTCTTGTACTACTCCCCGGCAGAATACAACCACAAGTGAAGAATTGCAGAAGCTACTCTACGACAGGTTCGATAAAGTCTGGACAAGAGCGCTGCACATGACTACTCCCTCAAAAGTGGCGCATACTCTCACAAGGGTGTGCTTGGAGCTGAGGCATAAGGCTGGGATAGAGTTTGTGCATCTAGCTGCCAGAGAGTACGGGAAAAACGTCACCAGGGGTTTCCGAAGGGAAGTAAGCGTGCTGCTTCTCGTCCCTGATCCGGATACGTCCGAGGGAGGGATTGGACATATCTGCATGGCAGAGATACTCGTCCATCTTGATGCCAGCACAAATGAGCTTGAGAATGTTGCAAGCAGGTTCTGGTATGACTGGGAAGATTGGACTGTACCTCAGTATCTCGACTATGTCAAAGATCTCGACGCCGAGCCACTCAAAGTCCGCATTCCGGACAAAAGAGCAAATGTTCCCTGGTCCACAGTCATGGACTCGCTGCTAGAAGCCGTCCAAAAGGTGACAAGGTGCATGGTTGATAGAGCCAGCTTCAAAGCCTTAGTCAAGCGTATATCGGATGAACTCAAAGTATCGGACTTGCAAGAGAGGGTTTATGAATGGCAAGTCGAGAAGGTTTGGAGCAAAGGCTCGCACAGGAAGGCATTCCCAGTGATCCGAATAGCCTTCAAGGTTATGCAAGGAAGGAGCTACAGAGAGGATCCTGGGGCTGTGATGCTCATGGAGCTTGAAGTGGAGTCGAAGAAGACTTGTGGCTGTGAAGAGAGCAACGATAAACCTATGAGGAAAGTCAATAATATGTCGGTTTCATATGACGGGGAATGGCCTACCTTTCACCATTACCGAACAGACATACCTCCACCCTCTTTGGAAGATCTGGTGGCGACTGAGAAACGATGAATGTATAATTTGCAGACCGGAGAAGATAAAGTAGTCCCAAATCTACTAGTTGGGCATCTGTTAAAACTCTGAGACCATTCATTTCAAGTGGTCAAGCTTGCTGGTGCTAACTATACTTGAGGGGTATCTGTAGACAGAATACGTTGTTGAATAAAGCTCTCGAGTATTCAGACTGATTGCGTAGGCTAAAGGAAGATACCTCGACCGATATACCGAAGCACTCATGACCTATTCATAGAACTGTAAATGATCATGTACAAAATCTCCTTGCTGCTTACCCTTTCAGTCAACATGGTCAAGCAAAGACAATGTTCCGTTCGTGCTGACGATACTCCGCTGGGAGCTGCTACACCGGTGGACAGCAGATATAATAAGGCCTGGACCAATAGAATAATGCTGTTTCTAACATTATCGCAATTTTGGCCATGTTGGACCCATCAAACCATCTCATCAAGGCCTTGCAAGCCTTGGCGATCCAATTATCGTACGGAGGATGAACCCTGGTACCACTACAGGTATGAGTGGAAGCGTCTTATGCGAGTAACAGATTGACCAAATCACGATGATTGGCAGCTGAAGAGGTGGACATCTGTCGTCAAATAACCAATGAAGCTTGGTCGAAAGGTGAGAAGCAGAAGCGCCGTGCTCGCGTCGCTGCCATGCGGTGTTGAACACTTTGGATACTGACGTCGTCTGTCTTTTGAAGATGATATTGCCACTGAATGTGGATGGACAACTCCCGATAAGCTCGATCCATACATAGATAACATGCTCAAGCATTGGCCGGGGGGCAGGTATGGACGGCAGGCACCGCGACAGAAGCGATTTGCGCTGTGACTGTCGTTCAGCCCCCAGGAGCTGTCAATCTTTCCCTTACTGTAGCGTGACCGCCACATGGCATCCACCACCACCACACTCTCGGCCCTACCGCGATACCTTCTCCTCCGCTTCCGTCCATAGAAACCGATGCATGCCGGAGACCCAGGAGTTTCCTCTATCGAGCTATACCTATTGAGGAACCTCCTGGCTATCCTTATCTTATCCTTCTACTTCCTCGGCTACTCCTCGTACAGCTCGCACACCGCTCGCTTCACTCACCCACGCCGACAACCAAGAGATACGAGACGCTCCGGACTTAACCCCGACTTATCTGGCCATAGCTCTGTCTACGGACACCGCCACACTTACGCCAGTCTTTGTTTCTAAGAGATGGACTATTCAGGCTGGTGCCATAATTGCTAGTAGCATAAACAGAGATCCTGCTAGTGTGTAAAGGAATAGAAGGGTGAACTCATACAGGACGCTATAGACAAAGAGTACGCTCATCAATACGATCGGACCGATGTGCCTGAAGATTCTTTGAATTTCATCGTGGAACATGTAAGAGAAGCCACTCATGTCACGCTCTTTCCCCTTTACCAAAGGGACGTTGATGTGTCAGCCGACTCCCGCATAGTTGCTGTCCAACTATGCTGCATCACTAGAAATCACCGGGGACCCAGAAGACACCTACCTACCGAATTTCAACCACTTCTACACGTGAGGAATCGCGTTGTCAAGGATTTGCATCAGCGCTTCACTCTGTCACCGCCTCTCTCGATCGAGCTGATGGAAACGGACCTCGCTGGAAGTTTTCACCGAACAGGTACCAGTGAGCAGAGAACAAACTTGTAGGTGAAAAGATACGGCAGCTGACCAGATTTTACAGGCGGGGCTCGAACGGCTTGGGTTCCATGAAGTGTGCAAGGCGCCGATCGAATGGCCAGAATCCCACCAGCCCCATGACAGGCAAGACACGCACTACAGAACTCTCCAGACAGATTCAAATGAGGAGACTAGCGGGACTCATCTTGTCATTCCTGACGAGACTTTGCCGGGCGCCAATGATAGGTTCCGGGTGTATGCTATTCCTAGTAGCCAGCCTCGGCTATAGATCGGGCCACGAGGGGCGAGCGAAGTATGTATATAATGGCATGATCTGTGCAGACCGTATGAACCACTTGGCGTTCGAGATGCGATGCATTACAGCCAATGACTGTCATGAGAAAGAAAAAAAGAATATGAAATTGTCCATTCTACATGCGAGTATGACCCCCCTCAACAACAGGAAACATCTGTCCACAAAGCTAAGCACTCAGCTCAGCCAACCCACCCTTCCCACTCAACACCCCACTCTTCATGATCTTGACGCCCTTGACCCATTCGAGCCCCTCGCCGGCATAGCTGACTTCCGGGCTGACCTCCACTTCTACACCCTCAGCCACCTCGGCCCCGGCAGCTTGCAACCACCTCTTCTGCTGCGCCAGCAGATCGCGTCGACTCGTCTCGGGGCAGTCGGCCTTGCTGCCGGGGGCATTCTTCAAAGGCGAGAATTCCTCTGCTCGGTCGACTTCGAGCACACAGAGAGACTTTGTGAAGGGGAAGACGTCAAAGATGAAGAGCTCGAGCTTCATGCCGTTCGGCTCGGTGGGTTTGATGGCAGCGCCAGAAGAGAGGTCGACGGTAGGAATCTTCTTGCGCGCAATGTGGAACGCCATGTCCTTCTCCATCTCCTCCACACTCTCCAAAAAGTCGACAGTGTAAAAGTGGTTGACAATGTTGGCGGCTCGGAAAGCGAGCTGGCCGTCCGCCGTCCTCTGCTCGGCCTTCTCCTTGCTCAGTTCAGAGTACTCGACCACGGCGAAAGCGTCGCCCTTGGCAGCGAGCACACCAACGCTCTCTTCGGGGTACTCTTTGCGGACGACCTTGGCGCCAACGGCGGCTTTACGGGAGAGACAGCAGCCAATGAAGACGGGGTCGGCGACGCGGACGAGGCAGTTGTCGACGCAGTAACCATGGATGTATTGGATGTTACGGTCGCGCAAGTCGGAGAGGACGGTGGTGGGGGAGGAGGGAGAGAGAGGGCGGCGAAGGGCAGCATAGAGACCACCGTTGCCGTCCGGGGCGACAGAGAGGGAGCTGGGGCCGGACAGAAGGAGCTTGCCTTCATTGCTGAAAGCCGGAAGAACGCCTAAATCGGGTCAGCAAGGACCACTATGCTTTGACAAACACTCACCCTGCTCAAAGAAGATGACATCCTGTTCTCTCAGACCAAAGAAACCACTCTCCCGGAAGTACTTTTCCGTCGCTTGCCTAGTAGGACCACTGGTCATGACATACCACCTGACCCTCACACTGCCCTTCTCCTTCTTATACGTCTCCTCGGCGAGATTTTCAATCTTGCCAATCCTCTTCGCCTGGTACTCGAAAAGAGTCTTGCCGCTAGGCAGCTGGATATCGTACATCCCCTTGGGAAGAGCCGAGCCAAGACGGGTACCCTGTCCACCGGCCAAGAGCAAGACCGCGACCTGGTTGTTTGCGATCGCCTCCAAACCCTGCGCCCGCCACTTGGCCTCCTCCTCAGGGTTGTTCAGCACGGTCGCAGTCGCCTCCTCGGGCAAAGGCTTGGCCTCGGTGTCCTCGGGTCCATTGCCGACGAGATTTCCATTCTCCCCTTCGCCCTTGTGGACCGTGGGGCTCTGCTCAAGCAGGTTGACATTCTCCTTGGCAGGAGTGATGGCAGCGGCAGCAGCAACGGCGTTGGCAAAGATGCGGTTGACACGAGCGACGTCGATAGACTCGAGCTGAGCGAGGAGGGAAGCCTGCTCGGCGGGGGGAAGAGAGTCGTAGAAGGTGAAGACGTGGGACTGGTCGGCGGCGGCGTAGAGGGAGCGGAGGTTTGCGAGGAGGGCGGGGTCGGGAGAAGCCATGGTGGGGGGATAGATATTTGGGCGGAAGAAGGTATAAAGGAGGAAGGAGAAAGAAGATGGAAATGGAGATGAAACAAGAAACAACGGGCGTTAATATTATAAACGAGCCCGGAAAGGACGGCGGTGGCAGTGACAGACTGACAGTCGGTGGATGAGCCAGGGCAGCGCGCCCATGTCCTCTTGCAGCGCATGGCAGCTGAACCGGCGCACCCCTCTGCATGCACGGGATACCCCTGTCCTCCATGGATCGAGACTGATTTTTCACGCGAAAACAACGCGATCTCTGAGCGCGCCAGAGTGCGACGTCCATCCCGGCCGAACTTCTTCAACCCATGCATATGCATTCTGTCTCCTTCCCCAATAGCTCTCCTTACCACCACCACTATGGGCAGAACTACACCTACATCCATCCATTCCTTCCACCGCCGCTTTCAGTAAGAAGAGAACATCATTTACGTAAATGTTACGGCACCCGCGTGACGTAAGTGGCACAAAAACGCGGTTCTGCCGCACTCAAGCCGCACTTTGCGTTGAGTGACGAGTTCGCTGGAAAGCAAGTAGTCGAGCAAATCCAAGCCACAATCAGAACACAATAGCCGGGGATGGTACAATTACCGCACGCCCATCTCGCCAACACACAATCATACATAAACAAATGTTTTATACACCCTTTATACTTTCTTTGCCCTAAGCCATACCCGGAGGCGCCGCCTTCTCCGCGAGCTTTCTGCTCCTAAACTGTTGCTTGAACCTGCGTCGCTGCCAAGTCACGTAGCCGACCACTATGAGGGTTATTGCAGCGAGACCTGAAGAGTGTCAGTATGAGGCTGAGGAATGGTGAAAAAGAAGGCGTACCTCCAAAGATACCGAGACCGATGGGGAGGACTTGTAGGTTTTGACCGGGGACGTCGGTAGTCTAACAATTCATCAGCTGGAGGTTTCAAGTCCCTGGTCACTGGACTTACGCTGACTGCACCAATAGCAGTGACTTGATCAGCACCGCTTCTACCCCAAAAGTCAGTTCAGCTCCCCGAGACCTTGAGGGAAAGACTCACGCAGCAGCAAGGGCAGCAGAAGAGACAGAGCTTGTACTGACCCCATCGGACGCAGCGGTGACATCCACAGAGCTCGTACTTGATTCTGTCACAGAAGCAGAATCAGAGCTGATAGAGGCAGTGGCAGTATCGGCAGAGCTGCTTGAGCTTATACTAGCAGCGGCGGCTTTGGTCGATGAAGCAATGTCCTAATGTGACAATCAGTCTGATGGCACGCAACGTTAATTCACACTTACAGCAGATGCTACCGCGGAAGAGGATGAGACGGCCGCGCTAGAAGACGCAACAGACGCCGTGGTCGAGCTTGACGAAGAGGCCACAGCGCTTGAAGATGAAGAAGCGACTGAACTTGAGCTTCTTGAAGAAACAGCAGACGACGAAGAAGAATTGGAAGACCCGGTGGATCCGGTGAGGCCAGCATCACCACCGCCCAGCGACTGGCCGTCGAGAAGAGTCTGACAGAATTGTTGCGAGGGATCGTTGAGGGGAGTCAGACACTTTTCAGTAATAGTACCAACCGACCTATCGTCTTGTCAACCACTTCCTCAGACCATAAGAAGCGGACTCACGTCTTTTGACTGGTGATGGACTCGTAAACCATCGCCAGCTTTAATCCCTGGCTGGCTGCTTCTGTAGCGGCTGCCGCTGCGATGGTTGTGGTCGTCTTGAAATTAGTCTTCGTCTTCTTCTTTCGCTTGGCCAAGTGCTGAATCTGTCCCTCGCTACTGACGTGGTCTGCAGCATCAGGTCGTCCGACAGGATGAAATTCTCGCTTGACGTGCCCGTTACCGTCACCGGCTGCATGCCCCGTGAAGACCATGCGTCTCTCCATCGTCTGAAGGGTGGCCAGAGAGACGAGCTCGACCCCGTCCGGGAGTGCCCGGGGAGATGCATTGGAGGCGAGGTGGGAGATGGAGGTAGAATCGGCGAGGGTGGGAGATTCGGGGAGAGGGGCTGCGAAAGAAAGAGTAGAGAGGGCGGAGAGGAGCGATATGGAGTACAAGATGTCCAGCACCTTCATCGATCCGGCTGGATGGGGTTGCCAAAAGGGGTTTTCGAAGAGGAAAAAAGGGGAGAGCAAGAAGAGAGAGTCGACCAGCGAATCTCTGTAGAGTGAATAAAGAACGAAATTGGGGCACAGAGAGAAAAGAGTCTGAAATTAGAAGGAAATGGTAGAACAGCGAGGTCATGGGAAAGGCCAGAGAGGTGAGAGGGTATATCCATGGTCACGGACAGTCTTCGTGTCAAGATACAGGATGTCCCGCCTGCGCCCGCGGCATTTCCACGACGGTTGCTGGGTTGATATGCACGGTTGCCAGAGCCAAACATGGCGACGCGACAGCCTGGATACGCGGTTGGACCCGGCAGACTCCGGCTTTCTTCAGTCTCGCCTGGTGAGGAGGATCATCGTCAGTTGGTGTGCAGATTTGATGTTGGAAAGCTTTGCTTTTGGAGGGAGAGTAGAGTCATGATGTTGTCGATTGTTGTTGTTCCCAAGTTGTTCGTGATGGCGGCGAGCACCGGTAGCGCACTCAGCCGCAGTCTTTCCGCAGACGTGTGTGTTGTTAGATTCAAGATGTATTAAATTCCTTCTTCCTCATTATTGTCTTCTCTTGCTTGCCCGACTACTACAAGAGCCTGCAAAGTACCAGAGATACTAGCCCATATAGAAGGTACGTCGCCCCAGCACAACACTCACAACACCTCTCAGTTGCTCAATCGTCCTATCTACAGCCTTCCCGAGCAGCATGCCCCCGCAAAGCCACTCGCATCTTTCCCCCCAGTCCGACTACTCCCTCCTCTCCAGCCTCGACGCCCTTTCACTTTCTTCCGCCCTTTCCAAAGTCGACTCGCGAGCTGGGACCTCTTCAGCGTCGCTGTCAGACCGCCGATCTTCCCAGGACGACTATGAAGTGATCAGCCACCCAAGTTCGGGCAGACATACCACTCTCAATGTCCACCTCAACATGGAAGAGACGTCTTCTCTCGCCACCAAGACGCCCACGGGCTCAACGGGGTTCGCAGCATCAGACTCGGCAGCACCGGCGGGTAAATCAAAATACGCTCGTAGGCGTGAGAGGTTGCGGGCCCGCAAGGATGCCGATCTCCCCGAGGGCTCTACGAGCTCTGAGATCTCATCACAGGTCACAGGCCATACCGAGTCTTCTGCTTCTGCTGTGTTTGTCCAATCCAGGGTGCCCGTGTCACCCAAACCCGCGTCCGTGTCTGTTCCGCCACCAAAAGCCTCTCCCTCCAAGCTCGCCGAAGTCCTCGCCAGATCTGACAAGGATCCAGAGAGGCTGTCCAAGTCTGCTTCTAGGCGGGCCAGGAAATGGGCTTTGAAACAGGCTCAGGCGGCGAACAAAGGCGGAATTTTGGCGTCTGGTTCTTCCAGCGGCGCTTCCGGACTCGGCGGATCCTCGCGCTTTGGCGGGGTAGCTTCAAACAACTTTCTTTCCGTCCCTTCATCCCATGTGGCTCCATCTCTGTCACTTGATTCTAGTCTGGATGATACGAGTGGGAAGGGCAAGACTCGTCGTTCCCGAAGGGGTGGCAAACAGAACAAACAGAGGGCCGAGCGGCTTTCGGAGACGCGGGATTCTTCCGAGGCCGATTCTGTTCTCGACACCGATGATACTGCTTCTGTGACGACCACAGGGACTACCAGTCGATCGAGAACGCCTACGGGGAGTAGCGCTAACTCAGGGAGAAGACGGGTCTTGGCTTGGGATGATGAAGACGAGGACGACTCTGAAGATGACGAAGGTGGTCGGGCGACACCTGTCGCCCAGAGGAGGACAGCTCCCAGTGTATTGAGCGCGAGCGATGCTTCTTCGTCCATCAACAGGTGGGTAATCTTCATCTTGTCTTATCGCACAACTAATTCGAGTAGTTTTTTGACCGACCCTCGAAACTTTATGATGCTCAAGGAGAACAAGCTTCGACTGTGGCAATCGCTCTGTATTGAGGTGAGCACTCATATCGTAACCTGAACTAGTACTGACATTCAACAGTTCGGCTTGGTCAACCTCGAAGAAGACCTCCCCGACCTTCCCGTCCGAAATACACCACAACGCCCTGTACAACGCCCCCGAGCCGATACTGCTTCTTCTTCATCTACCATCACTTCCAGCTCCACAGCCACAGAACTCCCAGTCTACCCCCTCCCTCGTACCCTCAACCAAGCTCGCCGTATCCTCAAAGAACATGCCCATGTCAATCTCGTAGACTACTTTGAAGCCCGAAAAGTCGGAGCTCCCGCTTTTGTGGGGGCGTACAAGGATCTGCTGTGGCCGACCCCTTCGGCGTTGAGAAGGTATACGCGCGGGGAAGGTAAGTTTGCGGTGAAGGACGCGGTGAAGGATGAGTGGCTGAACCCGCTCATGCGCGACATCTTGCACTTTTCTGCTGGGAAAAAGTAGACTGATCTTGTCTTGTTATAAATGCTTGGACCATGTCCATCTGGACCTCTTTACTGTACCTCTTTTGTATCCTTGTGCGCTTCACTTGCCCTTGGGTCTGTCATTTTGTAAATCAAGTCTTCCTTTTGGGTGCCGAGTCATGTATCATCTATGCACTCTCTCATATAGCAGATCACCAGTGAGATGCGAGTGTGCAATGCATGATGTCAGATGTGTTGCCATCTATATGGCTTTCTTACAACTCTCTAAGCACTTCCACCTTGACGAAAGTCACAATCTCATCTCCCTCTTTGATATCGGTGAAGCCTTCCAGGGCGATACCACACTCCATACCCTTCCTCACATCCTGAACATCCTTCTTGAGATGCTTCAACGTCCCCATCGAGCCCTCAAAGACGACCTTTCTGTCCGGACCTCTCAGCACCCGCACACCCTGCGACTTGTCTAGAACGCCATTATTCACCCTACAGCCCGCAATCGTCATGAATTCCTTTCTCTTGACGTTGATCTGGAAGAGTTGAAGCACAGAGGCTTCGCCCTTGACAGAATATTCGATGGTGGGAGGTAGGAGGGCGGCGACGTCGTGGCGGACTTTTTCGATGAGGCGGTAGATGACGGATTCGAGTTGGAGGGGCACGTTTGTGTTCTTGGCGAGGGTCTGGATGGCTCGAGGGGCCGAGACGTTGAAGCCGATGATCATGGCTAGTGACGATCAGCGAGTGGATACCAGTGGAACGCTAGTGCTTACCATCAGAAGTCTCGGCGAGAGCGATATCATTCTCATTGACCTCCCCAACGCCAGTCTGGATGATCCTGACCCCAGCTTCCTTGTTCCCAATATGCTCCAGAGAACCAACCACCGCCTCTACCGTCCCACTCACATCCGCCTTGATGATCAACCTCAGAGTCTTGAAATCATCCTTGACCTCCCTGACAGTTTCGACCACCTCGCCATTCTCCGCCGCTTCAGCGGCTGCAGTCTCCGCCTCAACCCTCAACCTCTCTTCTCTCCGCTTGGCGTTAATCTGCTCGGCATCCTTCATCAACTTTTTCCTCTCTATATCCCGTTTCCTGTTGCCGACGGCCTTCTTTGCTTCGTCCTCGCCCTTGACCGCTTCGAGCAGCTCGTCACCAGCAGAAGGCAGCTCTTTCCAGCCGGTGACAGAGACGGGTGTACCAGGAGGAGCTTCACGGATGGGTTTGCCCTTGTCGTCTTGCATTTGGCGGACACGGCACCAGGTGGTGCCAGCTACGATTGAGGAGCCGGTGCGGAGAGTGCCCTTTGTGACGAGCACCGTGGCAACGTTGCTACAATAACCTGAGTCATATGAGACAGGGGGTTGGACGGAGACTCACCCTCGACCCTTGTCCACACGAGACTCCAAAACGTATCCCTCGGCCTTTCCATCCCTCCTCGCCCTCATATCCCTAATCTCCGCCAAAGTCGACAACGTCTCCACCAAATCATCCAACCCGGTCTTCTTCAACCCCGAAACTTTCACACTCGGCACATCACCTCCATCTTCTTCCAGAAAGATGCCTTCGGCACCGAGCGCGCTTTTGATCTTGTTGAAATCGACTCCGGGCTTGTCGCATTTGTTGATCGCAACGACGAGACCGAGGGTATCGCCGGCATTCTTGGCGAGGTCGAGCACTTCTCGAGTCTGAGGCATGACGCCGTCGTCGGCGGCTACCACCAGCACGACGAGGTCGGTCACCGAAGCGCCCCTCGCGCGCATAGCGGTGAATGCAGCGTGCCCGGGTGTATCGAGAAAGGTGATGGTCGCTGCCGAAGCGTTGGGGTCGGCAGAGGGGAGAAGGGAAGAGAGGGGGACGGAGAATGCACCGATGTGCTGGGTGATGCCGCCGGCTTCGGAGGCTGCTACCGAGGTGTGTCGGAGAGAGTCGAGGAGGGTGGTCTTGCCGTGGTCGACGTGGCCCATAATCGTGACACTAGAGTATGTGAGTATTGCGAATCATAATGGTATGAAACTCACACTGGGGGTCGAAGCGGTTGCAGGGGACCATCAACCGGGTCAGTACTATTTTTCATCGTTAGCCTTGCCGTATATCACGGGAGATCAACTTGCTCTGGGTAAATATCAAAACTGGCCTCATCGTCCACAATCGGGTTGTACCCATAATCGATGGCGATATTACAAGCCTGCTCCGCACTAAGCAAATAATCAGGCCGTCTTTCATCCTCCGTCATCTCAAGCTGCAACATCTTTGCCTGCAGAGGGAAAAGCTTGACCCCAAAGATCTTTGCGAGGTTGGCAGTGGACACTGTTCGAGGGATGTACACCTCCTTCTCTTGACGGACGGGGACCACCTTGGGCTTTGGCGCTTTGGGTTTACGAGGTTGTTCGGGTTGGGGTTGCTCGGGCTGGCGGTTTCGGCGATGGTGTTTGGTAGTGGGGAGGGAGGCGTCCTCGCCATCAGACCTCAGCCGGTCTAGCAGCGAATGCGATTCTCCTCGACCTTTTCTTTCACGTCCATGATTCTTTCTGGCTCGAGGACGATCATTATCATCCTCTTCCATGGCCCCGCCTCCGTAGCTACTGCCTTCGTCCTGGCCACCGCTTTGTGGCTGCTCTTCGCTCACTTTTCGAGCATCTCTTCCCCTCGATTGAAGAGGTGCGCCAAAGACGTCGGCTTGGGACTTGCCGCCACCCTCTCTTCTGGGAGGCTTGTCATCTCGTCTCGAACCGGCACCAAAACCCCCGCCAGATTTGGTATCTTGGCCGATACCCCATTTCGACAGGCCTTGGCCAAAGCTGTCTCGCTTGTTTTGGTTATTTTGGTTGTCTCGATTTCTATTGCCGCCGTTGCTCATTCCGAAACCGCCTGATCTATTTTGGTTCGAGTTGTTTCTGTCTGTCCAGCTCTGTGAGTTTTCGTTCCACTATCAGTACCAGAAACTGACCTCGTCCGCCAAAGCCACCAGAGCCCCCACCTTCTCTCTTCTTTGTACCGAAACCTCCACCCCCGCCACCTTGTTTCTTCCCCTGACTTCTCTTTTCATTACTGGCTGGTTCGGGGACCGGCCGGGACCAATCTCGAGTAGGCAGCTTGAAGCCACCATCATTGAGAGCGAGCTGACTTGTGGAAAACGTGCGGGCGGGCTGAGATGGAAGGCGATGGAGGACGCCGCGGCAGCACCTGCACGATGCTAGTGACAGGGCCATGATTAGGACGGGAGGGTGTAGCTTGGGAGCGTGAGGAGATGGAAAAAAGATACTGGTCAAAGAAAAGTTGGACATTGACGCGAACAGAGTGCGACACGAAAAGTGGAGGCGGAGGATGGCGGGGGACGTTCGGATCACATACGCAGCATTCTTTTTGCGTTTCACTGGGAGGTCTTTTAGCGGCCATATCTTTCTAGGTATGGGCTGGTGCACTGGAATGTATGTATAGGAGGTAGATGTGTAAATGCATGAATAAGAGATGGACGTACAAGAGACGGAATGCAGCACAGGGAAGATATGTCAGGCTGGCTTTCCTTTCTGTCCTGATGACTTCCAGCCGCTGCTCTATGCATCCTTCCAACTATTAATATATGCGCTGCCTTCTCTGCAACCCCCCTCCGTCTCGCGAAGACATGTTGAACGATACAAAGGAAAGACAACCGCCACACCGGGGGTTGACGTCACCCCCCGCATGCGGCAATTCCCGTTGCGGCCATCTCTCTCTCTACCATCTCTCTCTCTCTCTCTTCCTCCTCTCATCCTTCTCCCATCCCACCATGAAGACCGCCGCCGTCCTCATCGCAGCCCTCTCCGCCGCCGCCTCCGTCGAGGCCGGCGTCCACAAGTAAGTCGCTCGTCTATCGGTCACGGCCGGACGCTGGCGTCACCGTTGCCACCCTCACCCACCAGCGCTGACCATCCCCAGGATGAAGCTCCAGAAACAGCCCGTCGACGCCGACTCCTTCACCCACGGTGCCCACGGCCTCCGCCCGTCCCCCGAGCTCGAAGCGGAATGGCTCGCCTTCAAGCACCTCGGCCGAGAGTACGTCGACCAGCTGCCCCTTGGCGGTATGGGCGGTGCTGGCAGAAAGATCAAGGGCAAAAAGCAGCCCGAGATGACTGAGGAGGAGAAGGAGAAGTACTGGGCACAGATGCAGGATGGCGGTAATGCGCACATGCTCAAGGGCGGCCATGGTGTTCCTTTGTCTGGTGAGTCGTTGCGTGCTTGGTGGGACGATGGACTGACATGGCACAGACTACATGAACGCCCAGTACTTTGCTCCTATCGAGATTGGTACTCCCCCTCAGAGCTTCAGGGTCATTCTCGACACTGGATCTTCCAACCTCTGGGTCCCTGGAGTCGGGTGCACGAGCATTGCCTGTTTCGTAAGTACCCGGGTAACTCTGACTGCAACGCTGACAACGTCTGCAGCTCCACACCAAGTATGACAGCTCTCAGTCGTCCACCTACAAGGCCAATGGCTCTGAATTCGCCATCCACTATGGCTCTGGCTCCCTCGAGGGTTTCGTCTCTCAGGACACCGTCTCTATCGGCGACCTCGTGATCAAGAAGCAAGACTTTGCCGAGGCTACCAAGGAGCCCGGACTCGCCTTTGCTTTCGGCAAGTTTGACGGTATCCTTGGTCTTGGCTACAACACCATCTCTGTCAACCACATTGTCCCTCCCTTCTACAGCATGCTCGACCAGAACTTGCTGGACGAGCCCGTCTTCTCCTTCCGTCTTGGCGACTCTGAGGAGGACGGAGGTGAGGCCATCTTTGGTGGTGTTGACGAGTCTGCGTACACTGGCAAGCTCCAGTACGTTCCCGTGAGGAGGAAGGGTTACTGGGAGGTCGAGGTCGAGAGCCTCGGCTTTGGCGATGAGGAGCTCGAGCTTGAGGGTACCGGTGCCGCTATCGACACTGGAACTTCTCTCATCGTTCTCCCCACTGACGTTGCCGAGATGCTCAACAAGGAGTAAGCAGCCATCACTTATATTGGGGCCAAGCTGACAGGATACAGGATCGGCGCCGAAAAGTCTTGGAACGGCCAGTACACTGTCGACTGCAACACTGTCGACTCTCTCCCCGAGCTCTCCTTCAAGTTTGGCGGCAAGAACTACAAGCTCCAGGGTGCCGACTATGTCCTCAATGCTGGCGGTACTTGCATCTCTTCTTTCACTGGCATGGACATTCCTGCTCCTACCGGCCCTCTCTACATTATCGGTGATGTGGGTCATTTTACTCGTCAAGATGGGACGAAGCTGACACATTGCGCAGGTCTTCCTCAGAAAGTACTACACCGTGTACGACCTCGGCAGGAACGCCGTTGGTTTCGCCGACGCCAAGTAAACGCCTCAAAAGTGTCTGTCTTGTAAAGAGTAGAAGAAGAATGGGAAGTGCATCTTTTTGGAAAGAAAAGCCTTGTAAAGCGAAACAATCAAAGAACTTTAGTATGGGTAGATCTCTTGCATGTATTGTCTACACAGATGTCTGCGGTTGAATGATGCCCGTTGGAGCACACAGCAACGAATGGCGCAGTCGCAGGGCCGAGTGGCGTTGTCCCGAGCCCCTCTTGTGTCGGCGCACATCCCGGTCTCGTCACCAGGCGGTGCTCCTGGCAGCTCGGTGCATGGTCCGGGGGCGGCAGGGAGGGGGCAGGACAGGGCAGGACAGGGCACGGCACGGCAGGGATGAGGTGCACGATGCATGGGAGGTGGGACTGCGCACCAACGCCCCGCCGAGTCCTGCCCCGTCCGAACAATCTCGGAAGCTCGTTTGCAGCTCCCGTCGCCATGCACAACCCTTTCATCTCCATCTGTTTCCATTTTCTACAGCAGCTACAATACAAACAGGGACATGGCCCTCGACCCGCTCCCACTCCCCATGCCGCCCCCAGATCTGCCTCCCAAGGGCGCCCCCGATGCTCCAGCCCAAGCCACGGTCCAAGAATCTCAGCCTCCTATCGCTGTCCCTACGTCCCCCCCGCTGCCTGCTCTCCCCCGGCCAGCGTTCGTAGGACCCACATTCGCAGTGGCCAACACGCCCCCGCCCGTCCTCGCCCCACTGCCCCCACCTCCCCAAATCGCGAGCACATCCCAACCCCCAGCACCCATAGACATAGTTGAAGAAGAAGACGAGCTGCATGGTGACGAATCGCTCAACGGCTCTGCCCCTCCCCCTGCACCGGCTTTCCACCAAGGCTCGTCCCCGAACAAGTCCTCTTCGAGCAAGTCGTCACCGACCAAGTCTTTGTACATCCACACAAAGGACGCCTTGCTCCACAGTGGGGTCAACGGCCTCAGCGGCCTTCGCAGCCACAACGTGCACAACGGGTGGGCTGGCTCAGGGTTGCCCCAGTGGCCTAGCGCCACCGGACCTGAGGGCGGCGGCGGCGGCGCGGTCGGCCCTGGTGCCAGCGCATCGCCGACCAACGGGGAGGGACCCGGCAGAGCGAACCGCAGCGTTGGATACGGGACTGGGCCGGGTAAGAGCCGAAAGAGCAGCTGTGCAAACTGTCACCACCGGAAAATCAAGGTAAGTTGTCAAAGCTAAGAGAGAGAAAGAGTGAAAACGCGCAACTTTTGCCCTTTCCTTCTTCTCCATCTCTTACATTTTCGCATCATATAATAACGCACTGCTTTAGTGTGACCAGCAACGCCCCGCCTGCTCGTCGTGTGTGCGGAAGGGCCACAACTGCAAGTATCTCGAAGAAGACGAGTCGTATCGCAACCACCAACCGCCTCGGCCCGCTAAACCTCTCAGTGTGGCGACTGTGAACCCATTGGATCCCTCTAAATACCCTAAACACCTGCCGCCGCAAGAGTCCAACAACTCGAGCTCAGCGCTACTGCCCGCCCTACCCATGAACACCCACGTCGAATTGGGCTTGCCGATCACAAGTCGGCCCGGTTCCACCACCGACCGGTCGACACCGGAAAAGCCAGAACGAAAGAAGAAGAAGGATGATATTAGAGAAAAGATCCTGAATGGGTACGACACGGATAGCGAAGAGGAGACGCCGAAAGAGGAGGACAAAAAACAAGACGTTGATGTAGAGCTTGCTGCGTTGGTGGAGAATGAGATTGATGAGCTGGCGGACGACGGGGCGCAAGACCAGAGGAGTCAGAAGAGGAGCGTCTCTGTGGACGACGATATCAATGGCGAGGTGAGTTTCAAAGTATGTAGGTAGACCAAGCTGACATTGGCAGCTACTTGAATTGGCATCTGGCCCGCCAAAGAAGAAGAAGAAGAAGAAACCATCGATGCAGCCGCCCTTGCCCCAGGTCCCCCCGTCCAATTCGATGCAATTCATCCCCCAACTCCCACCCAATGCTCCCCTACACCATCGCTCTATCCGCGCCGCCCCTCCTCCGCTCACAAACTCGCGCCAACTGTCGGTATCTGCGCAGAGTTTCCCGCCAACACCGGGTACGAGCAATCCCATCGGCTCTCACCTCTCCCAACGCTCCATCTCCAACCACGTCTCTCCGGGTGACGACCCCTACTCTTTCCCTCTCCAAAATCTCGCGCTTTCTTTGCCCACGCCAGAGGCACAGGGCATACTGCTGAGAGGATTCTGGTCAGATCCAATCTTGACGGAAGGCATTGCACTGCTGCAATCGCAGTTCCGTGAAGATTATGCGCGGATGATGAAACGGCTGCCTGCGCGGACTGCCCTGGGCGATGCCACCACCCTGGCACTGCTCTACCTGATCTTGGCATGTGCTCTACGGATCATGCCAGAAGATACAAGCCGCCTGTTACTAGCAGCGCACAACAACACCCCCGTTCCCCGTTCCCTCTCCCGCATCATCTCGGGCCAGCCTCCGTCGGCTATAGACCCTTCGCCTCTGGACCACCGATACCTCGATCACGCCGAAGCGTGCATGACGTTTGCAAAGCAGTGGGATACCTCTACTGTCATGACGGTCATGTACAAGCTTGTCTTGTGGCGGTACCATAATCTCTGGGATAGGGATAGCAGGCAAGTTTCCCAGGCAGCGGCGGATCTGGCGAGTGGGATCAAGAGTGCACAGGGGCAGGGATTGGGGAAAGAGTGGCATGGATTGCAGCAGGCGGATAGGGAGTTGAGAAGGAGGATTGTTTGGGCGCTGTATAGTGCAGACAGGCAGTATTCCTTGCAAGTCGCCTTTTCTTCACCTGTTTCGTGCTAATGAATCGTAGCGAATCGCATGTCCCGTATACCATTGTGGATGTCCACCTGGGTATCAACTATCCCACTGCACTCACAGATGCCGAACTGTTCGCCGCGCCCTCAACACTCCTCGCCCTGCCCACATCCACCGACGGCGCCCCAACTGAAAATACCGCCTTCCTCCTCCAAGTCCAGCTCGTCCGGCGCCTGACCAGTATTCTTGACGCATTCGCCACCATCGGCCCGCCCCACGTCGAGCACGAACGTATCCTTTCTTATGACGCCACTCTCGACGGCTACCAAGAGTCGCTACCCCCAGCATTCAGAGTTTTCCCGGTGACAGACACAAGGTGGGACGCGGGGATGCCGTTCTTGCCTGTACAAAGAGTACGCCTACACGCCATGCTTTTCGGATTCCGAACAGGCGTGCATAGGACGCATTTGGGGAGATACCTGCAGCCACAAGCGCCCATTGGCGTACGCCAAGTCATCTCCTCCATCTGCCTCTCCTCCCTTCGCGTCCAAAGGTCCGCCAAGATGCTCGACCCCATCGTCGGTCTCCGCCTCTTTTCGCCGCAGACGGTATTCGAAAATTCGGCTGTGCTCTGTTTGATTTTGTATGTCGACAAGATGCTTATGGCGGATGTCGCGCTGGCGTCGGGTGGAGGGACGGGTCCGAGGACGGTGGATTTCATGAGTATGAGGAGTGGTGTGGCGGATGCGCTGGAGTTGTTGGATATGACTGTATCGGGTCCTTCTGGGAGCGTTAGTATTGCCAAGAAGGGGGCGCAGGTTATCAGGGCTATGATTAATGTCATTGATGCGCCGCTGGATCTGTAAGTGTCTCGTCTATTCTCTTTTGCATTGAGGCTGATTTGAGTAGGACCATAGCCCAGGTGCAGATGAACGGCGCGGCGAATGACAACTCTCCCGTGGTACCAGACAACAACGGCACACCAAACAACTTTGCCCATGAAGCCCCGCCCTCACCCATCTTTAACCAAATCCAACCCATCGACGAGTCCGCAGGACAAGCAGGGAATGGCATCCTCACCAGACCCTCGTCGCCTGCAGCAATATATTCAAATTCCACCGCTTTCCGTCCCACGCGCGTAACGCCCCCAGGCGCTACCAGCACCCCCAGCGCCCCCGGCGGTACTGGCACGCCCATCCAAGCCGGTACTTCAGGCCTCGCCCAAGGGCAACTCGGCCCACACGCTCAAAAAGTCATTAGCTGGATTACAGCTATCCAAGGCCCGGAGGGGAATGGGATGGTGATGGATGGGTTGTTGAAGGAGCCGAATTGGGTTGGGGCGTGGGATAGGGTGGTGGGGAGTATGTGAGTGGGGGTTACGGGGTGTTCAAGTATAAAATCGCACTTGTCATAATAGTTGTTCAACATGGGTTTTGGGATTTTCATCCTATACATATAGATTGTAGTAACTACGTATGCTACTCGTGTATATCATGGTCCATAAGATTAGACCCGGGTGTCGTGGAGCAGTTGCAGTGTGAAGTGCATGGAGCAATAGAGCTATGAGAACGACAGAGTGGAAAGAAGATTATTGCAGATGGAGGAAACCAGCTCCTCAACCTCTCTCAGATGCAAAAAGAGACCATCCAATCGACCGAAAAACTAGTACCAAAGAACGAAAAGAGTGAATATGCTAGTGCTGTTGTAGCGCTATGATACAAAAAGAGACAACTTGAGAACCAAATAACCCAGCAACGCAACATCATCCCGCAAGGATGAGGTTCACATAATCACACAACACCCCTTCTTTTCCCCCTCTCCCCTTCCTCCACCCTGCCGTCTCTGTCCCTCTTTCCCATTTCTGCTTACCGGACGTGAACGTCCTGATGAATAACCATTCGACCCGCTCTTGAGGTTGTCTCGGGAAGAGTGGTGGTTTGGGTATCGTTCCTTTTCGCGGGAGGACGGCTGGGGTTGGGAGAGGAAGGGGCCTTCGAGGAGTCTTTGGGAAGCGAGGGATATGCGCTGGAGAGAATTGTCAGTGGCGTGATCGGGCAAGTGTTTACACTCGGTCTTTTGGGTAGATAGTTGACCGAGCCCGAAGGAGATGCGATCGGTTTGAACTTGGACCCGATACCGGGTGTATATTTCCCGCTGGAATTGAACTGTAAAACTCACTCGTTCATCCTTTCTGACCAGCTTGACCAGCTCGCGAAAGGCCACATCGACATTCACCCCGTCCGCCGCTGAACACTCGATGAATGGCGCCGAGAGCGATCTCGCGAGTTCACGTCCTTCCAGCTGCCCTACCGCGCGATACTTTTGCAGGTCACACTATTGTTTCCATACGTCAGCCTCGGGAACCGGTACCGAGGGAAGTAAAAGTGAACGGGAAGAAGAGACACACCTTGTTGCAGACGACAACACAAGGCACGTGATCACGATCCTTTACCCGCAGGATCTCTTCATGAAAGTTCTTGATCTCTTCAAAGGTGGGCCGGTCTGTCAGAGAGTAGACGAGCAAGAAGCCCGAGCCGAACGTGTACCATTGGTCGGCCATGGCTGCGTATTCCTCTGTATGATACTCATTAGCTACTGACGCGGGTGGGGACAGGGGTGGGGGAGATAATGACTCACCTTGGCCTGCGGTATCGAGTATTTCCAGCGTGGCTGCTTCATCGTCTACGACGACTTGCTTGCGATATGAATCTTCTATCGTAGGATAGTAGCCTCTAGGATAACCGTTAGTGGTCCTGGTCAGAGGGAGGGGGAGGGGCGGCGTACTGGTCGTAGAATTGAGATGTGACGAATCGCATTGTCAGACTGGATTTTCCGACACCTGGAGCGTGTTGCGTGAGCACGAGAATGACGCAAAGGGCTTAGCTTACCGCCGAGACCGACGACGACGAGCTTCTGCTCCCTGGCATGGAATCCTCTTCCGGACATGGTGGCGAGAGTGAGTAGTGAGATGGGACGGAGTTGTAAGTGGAGAGTGGCGCAGTTGACGTAAGACGAGAAAGGAAGCGGTATATATGTTCTGGTTCAAGATGAGATGCGAATTGGATCGCGAGATGAGGCATACACTCGCTGATGGAAAGGCGGTGGGATGGAATGGACGGTGAATCCTGACTCTGATCAGGGCAGCCATCCGAAAGGGACACCCACACGGCCGTACATACACACCAGCACCGCACAGACAGCAGAGGCACACTCGGCGTGGTCATTGCCGTGACCCTTGGAGAGACTCGGCACAGCCTGCGTGGCTAGTGCAGCATAGTTGGAGTATAGCATGAATGGGGAAGGATGAATGGGAAGGGGATGATAGAGGACATACGCGCATCATTCCCCCGCCGTGCGAGGACAGGGATGACGAGAACACAAACACTGCCTGTGTGCGTCCTTCAACATCCCCTGCCTATGTGTGCATACGTAAGCATGTACTGTCTTCATCATCCCATCATCACTCTGTTGCCGCCCTTACACTGTCCAATGGAACGCCCGTCCCAGCAATGATCACAGTCGCTGGTCCCTCGAGCTCATCCCTGCTGTCCAGCAAGTCCATATGCCGAAAGTCGACCCTATTTGAATACTAGCTCCTGTGCCACCTAGCGATCGTGGCAATACGGGCAAAGCGGGATATACATGGCCGGTCATAGACAAGGGGCTTGGCTGAGTTTTATGAGAGAAGGGGCATAGGAGGCCTCGAGCACTTACGCAGGGAGAGTTGACATAGGATCAGGTCTGACGATATCGGCGATGGGGACGGAATAGATAAGAGGGCACTGGCGGGGCTCCCCGCCGATAAGCTTGTGGCCACGTCACGACTCACGAGGGCCCCTCTATTGATCCATCCGCCCATCTCCTCTTGCATCTCCATCTCACAGCCAGCCTCCCATATACCCACAGCCCTCCAGTAGCACGATATCCCTGCGTGTCAAGCAACCCGAGTCAGACGCTTGTATCGCCACTCGACATCGACCGGTCCCTGGCCATCCCGCCAAGAACTTTTCAACTCCGCCGGCATGTCGTCTACCACTTCTTCCCCAACCTCGACCGCCCCCTCCGTCTCTGCTTCCACGACAGTAGCAACCAATGACGGCTCCTCACCCAGCACATTCTACAAGAACCTATTCTACATCTTGATAGGCCTCTTGGTCATCTTCGCCGTGTTTTCCTTTATGTCGCTGCTCAAAGCAAGGCGAAGACGGCGGGCCATCATCGATGAGGTAAACCGATGCAAAAGCGATCAACCTGAGACTGACAGATGCACAGGCGGAACGTCTAGGTGTCATGGTCCCAGGCATACCAGGCTACGTTCCCATGCGCGACCGCCGCGGCTATCAATGGCTCCAATCCAACGGCAAACAATCACCGGAATGGTGGGACATTTCTGGAAACCCAGACAAGTTGGATGAAGGGACTGGAAGCAAGGCAAGGAGCAGGATGGGGAGTGCGCATCCGAGTATGGCTAGTTTGCAAGTGCCGGGGGAGGGGGCGAGGTTGAGGCATCGAGCGAGTGGAGGGAGATTGAATGATCCGTCAGATTTCGTATGTTCCCTCGCTACTTTTTTCCGGATGAAAGCTGAGACCAGGCAGACACCCGTTGCTCTGGTTCCGCCGCCGCCGCCTCCACAAGCCCTGGGACCCGTCCCACAATCATCCGTACCCCATTTCCCAAATCACCTCGCCTACCGCCCTTCCTCCATGCTCCCGCCCAAAGCGAGGTTTGACAATATCACACCGGGAGAATTGGGCAAGCTGGAAGGACTGGTGGGAGAAGGGGTCGAAGTCGTAGGGATTGTGAGAATGCCGGTTCCGCCTTGGGTCTGTCAACGCAGGGGTTCGGACGATGAAGAGGATGGTCAGGAGATACTGAGAGAGTGGGGAGGGGTCGAGCTGGGGATTGCAAGGATGCAAGTGAAGCGTTGACTTGTACTTTGGCTTTTTGGGTCTTTTGGTTCTTCTTTTTATCTAGGTTGTGCTACCATATATAGTCATCATCATTGTATGTAGTAATCTGAGTACATGTATTCATCTTGATTGTATATACAAACTGGTCACATGCGGAAGATGCCCCAGTCGCCGGCATCTCCATCAGCCCCTACTTGACCTCTCGTACCACCCCCAGAACCGTGCCCTCTGAGAGCGCGTTCTTCGTGTGCGAGCTCGAGCCCGAGCCCAAGGATATCCCGAGTATCAGTAGGTTTGATGATCCCATCATCCTACCTCTCGTCAGCTCCTTCCCCAACCCCCGCGGCTCAACTCACCCAGATCCTCGCACTCGCATAAATCCCCTGACACTGCCCCTCAATCTTCTTCTTCAACTCTTCCCTCTTCTTCTCTGCCTTCTCTTTTTGGGCGTCCGTCTGCCCGGGGCGTTTGTCTTCGACGCTGTGCATGACGGTGGACAGTTGGTCGGGGCCCATGACGCCGACTTTGGCGTTGGGCCACATGAAGAGGAACCTCGGTGAGTAGGCTCTTCCGCACATTCCATAATTCCCGGCTCTTCCCCCTCCCATCAGTCCATACCCCCCACCACAAGAAAGAAAGAGGGGGTGCTCACCCAAAACTGCCTCCGACAATGATGGAAAACTTTTCAACCTTTGCCCTCGCCACCGCCCGAACCATCTTTGCCCCATCCTTTGCTATCCCCCCCCTCTCCGCCTTCTCCCCAACCATATACCCACTCACATTCGTCAAAAACACCAACGGTATCCCGTGCTTTGAGCACGTCGTGATAAAGTGCGTCGCCTTCAAAGCAGAAGGGGAGAGGATGGGGCCGTGGTTGGCGAGGATACCGATCGTGTACCCGTGGATCTGGGCGAAACCGCAGACGATAGTAGGGCCGTAGGATCTTTTGAATTCGCGGAACTGGGAGGCGTCGACGAGGCGGGCGATGAGTTCGCGGGGGTCGTAGGATTGGCGGGGGTCGGTGGGGATGAGGGCGTTCAGGTCGTCGGCGGGGTAGATGGGGGGTTGGATGTGTTTCTGGGAGCGGGAGGGGGAGGGAGGGGAAGGAGGGGAGGGGGAGAGGTCGTGGATGGCTTCGCGGGCGAGGGAGAGGGCGTGGGAGTCGGATTGGGCGAGGTAGTCTGCAACGCCAGAAACAGACGTATGCATCTCTCCACCGCCTTCGAGATCATCTCTCGTTAGCCCACATTTTTTCTCGTGTGACTTGGAAAGCTCACCGAGAGATTCTTCATCGACGACTTGACCCGTGGCAGCTTTGACCAAAGGCGGTCCTGCGAGAAAGATGTGGCCTTGCTCTTTCACGATGATGACCAGATCAGACATCGCAGGCATATACGCACCGCCGGCGACGCTTATCCCATGGACGACGCTGATTTGGGGCATACCTAGAGAAGACATGCGGGCCATGTTGTAAAAAATACGGCCAAAGTGATCCTACCCCTACAAGTCAGGATTGCGGTAAGATGGAAGGAGAGGGGCGGCGTACATGGTCGGGAAAGACTTTGGCTTGGTATGGAAGTGCGGCACCGCCAGATTCGACGAGGTAGATGCAGGGTAGTTGATTCTCCAGCGCGATCTGTTGTGCTCGGAGATGTTTCTTGACCTATTCCATACATCACGTCAGCGCTGATAAGAAAGAGACGAGGAGCGCACTGTAAGAGGAAAGTAGGTACCGCCTTTGACGGTCGGGTCGTTGCCTATGATCATACACTTCCGGCCAGCTACCATGCCTGAGACCTATCAGCTGGTTCTACAAGTATATCCGTGGGGCAGAAAGACGGACCGATGCCGGTGACGATACCAGCCCCGGGCAGGGGATCTGGGTACACTTCATGGGCTGCCAATGGCGAGAGCTCTATGAACGGGCTCGCGGGGTCCAGTAACACCGCTACTCTACACCTTGCATTAAGCATACAGTCAAGGTGAAAGACACAAAGCATACCGTTCGCGCACAGAAAGCTTTCCCTTCCCCCGCTTCTTCCACCTCTCCAACACCTCCTTGCCACCGCCTTCTCTCGCTCTCGCCCGGAGATCCTCTGTATCGCGTATCAAACCTTCCATCCATTTCCTGTTGGTCTCTGACTGGGGGGAGGTGGGGGAGAAGGTGGTGGGCAGAGGGCGGGGGGTGATGAGCGGTCTTGGTGGCTGGGGGATGAGGGTGCGGGTGAGGGCGCGAGATGCGGCTATGGGGCGGGGGCGGGGGCGGGGACGGGTGAGGAAGATGGGTGGCATGGTAGCATGGATGGACAGAAGACGGGATGCATGGCTATATACTCTCTGTGGTGGCTTGTGACCAAGAGATGGACATGTGAGGACAAGGTGACCTCTCGGCAACAACCTCACCCGGCCCGGTGTCCCGATCTCACCGCGTTGAGTGACGAGATGTTGGAAGTCGCGCTCGTCTATGGTCAAAGTCAGTTCACTCTTATGTAGAGCGATCAGCAGTATACATATGGTAAGCAGTGCGCACAGGATTCGAGGCTGAGTGTAGACGGCACACCGATATAGCAGTGCTGAGGCTGTGATTGGCTGCAGTCAGTGCTGTGCATAGTGCCAGTCAGAACCCAAGTCTGCAGGGACACAGAAGATATATAAAGAGTGAGATCTGAGATGCACAGTGACACCATGATCGATGAGATGCATCCTGGAGAAATGCTCCCGTCGAGACGCGTCTCTACAACGCCCCGTGGACAGGTGGATGTTTTCTCTGCCCATCCCGCGATGTCACTGTCGACCTCGCCCTCCTCCGTCCACCCGCCTGTCGCCAGCGTTCCCCTCCGCGATGAGCCAGCACGAGACCGCCCCATCGACATGGACAGGACCAACAGTGGTGAGTTGCATAGTGGCACACGCGTATTTCCTTCTTGGGCATAGCGCAGGGTCTACCCGCACCATGTGCTGACCCAATCTCTCCTTTTCCCCCCAGCTCTCTCCACCACCTCGACATCCTCTCTGCCCCCTCGCCCCCTCCCCCGCCGACGCTCCACAGACGCCTCGGGCGGCCTCGATTACTATTGGTCATCCCTCGCCGGCGCCGGCGCGTCGAGTTCGTCTTCTTCCCTCGCATTGTCACTTGCGTCCCCCGGCGGGGGCAGTGCGATGGCGCTCAGTCCGCCTGTAGGGAATGCAAGTCTGAGCGCGTCCCCCAGCGCTACTGGGCTAAAGCAAGTGAGGAGCCATGGGAATCTGGGAATGCATGCTGGAGGTGGGAGGCAGAATTCGGATGGAGGATACTTTGGGTACGGCCAGCAGACTCACTTGGGTGCGCCACAAAGACCATACTATAACCGCGCCGACTCTGGATCGTCCACGGATTCCCAGAACCCCAATCCAAACTACATCTCTTCGCCTCTATCCATCTCGGGCAATCGTCCCCTGGCTGCTGATCATCTCGCATCCAGCCCCGGAGGCTGGTCGGCTACGAGCAACTATTCCAAATCTGCCACATCGGGCCTGTCGGTTGCAGGGTTGGACTTGCAGCAGAGACAGTGGTCGTATACTACGGACGAGAGCTCGTCGAGCGATAGCCAATACTCACCCGTGAGCTACCGCAAAAAGCTGGACGAGCCCACTCAAGATTCTTCGGCGCAAGACAGACGCTGGCAAGTCCGTTCCAGTGCACAATCCGGTACGACCTACGTCCCCGACAAGGAAGATACCTCCGACGTCCCACCCCCCAAACCCCAACCCGAGATGCAAGACAAAGACTGGGAAAAGACACCCCGCGAGGCAGAGGTGGAGCAATTCACAACGCCGACTGCTGCAGCCTGGCAAGAACGGCCTGATCTGCGTCCTCCGCAGTTTGTATTTGCCGCTGGAGATAGAGCGGGGGAGAGGCTGTCGCCGGGTTCAAACTCGAGCCATACGCATACCCAGGGGAGGGGTACGCCTGTGACGGGTACGAGCTCTGCCAGTCGGTATACACCCACCAACCCACCCTCCTCTGCGCAGCCCTCATCTCCCTATATCCGCACGCCGCAAAGTGCTGGCAACCCCACAGGCCCTTTGGCCCATTTCGCCGCGAATAGAGAGACACCGAGGAGCGCGCCCGCTTGGAAATCCGAATTTGAGCCGAGTGGAGGGCGTGCTGAGGGCAAAGAGAAAAATACGGTGAAGGGGAGGAATAGGAGGACGTTGCCTGCTGTTGCGCCCAGTAGCTCGACTGATTTGGCGGGTATCATGAACGGGGATCAAGCAGACCAGTGAGTTCATTTGTCTCTGTGAAAACGGTAGCTAATGGGTGTAGACCTATACTGGTATTTCCAGTGACGTCCGAGCCCGAACCCATCAACAAAGCTCTACCGACCATAACACATACCCCACACTCCCCCTTTCCCTCCCCACCACCCAAAGACGACAGACCTCCCACCAAAACCAACCTCTCCTCCTCCTCCCTCGCTTCCTCATCTTCGTCTCTTTCTGCACCCCCCGCGAGGCCTGATCGTTCGCCCTCGAGGGGTACTGCTCCGACGTCCACATTTATAACCTCGCCGAGCATTTCCGAGTTGACAGAGATGCTGGGAGGCGCGATAGATGAGATTGGATTGATCGATTCGAGGGATACGCCCCCGCCCAACATGAGTGCCCCGCCCAAAAATGCTGGTTCTGTTTCTTCCGATTCCAACTCTAGTGCGAGTAGTGGACTTGAAAAGAGGCCGCAGATGAGTTTGGATACGGATGTGTCGGGAGATGGAAAAGGTCTTGAACCGCCGGCAGAGCTGGTGAATAAGGCAGAGAAGGACCCGATCACACCGACATCTTTGCCTCAGAGAGGCATGTCGTTGTCGGCGAGTGGAGACGCGGAGGAGGAAGGTCAAGCAGGGATGGGCGTCGCATCGACTCTACCCGCATCTCCTACCTGTACTTCTCCCTCGGATTACCATTCGCCCCTGCCTGAGCACCATTCATTGCCTGGGGGAACAGTCAACTACCCACCGCTCCCCCGGCCTTGGCCCTCGGCAATGCAGACGACTCAGATCAAATCTCTCGCTTCTCCGGGCGCCCGTGCGCTGGCCTATGCGCGCGCCATCAACGAGCTGTCGCGCGGCGATACCGGCTTGGGCTGGTGGTGCACCAATATGCAGGGAGAGATGAATCGGCCCATCAGCGGGAGCAGGGCCCCGAATATGAGGAAATTGAAGATGGGGTCTGTCAACTCGGCGGGCGGTGGGGGTGGGTTGGTCATTTCCGAACCGAGCAACTTTATACAGGGCACGCCGGTGTCGCCTTCAGCTCCCCCGATGCTGGACCTTGCACCAGTCATTCCGCATCCGAGGAATGTGAGCACCGGCTCAGAATTCCCTATGCGCGCAGACTCTTACTCTGCGCGCGAAATCTCGCAACGCGTCGTCGACCCTACCGACCAGCCCACCGCTCTCCCTGCCAACTTGCCGTACCCGCAAGTGCAGCAAGCTGTCAATAACCCCGGGTTCAATGGTGGAGGTGGTCTGAGGCCGAGTCAGTCGATGCAGTCGGTATCGAGCTTCACGTCGGGGAAGAAGGGATTCTTCTCGGCTATCCGGAAGGGCGGATCGAAGAAGGAGAGCATGTCCCTCGGTCCGCCCACCTCTTCGCCTATAGCTACCTCGCCTGGGGGAAGTGTGGGGAGAAAGGATATCCGTGGTTTACCTATCTCTGCCCCTCGCGCGGGCACAGCCAGCCCCCAAAAATCCGGCGCCGAAAGCCCAGGCGGCCTTCAAGCCCCTCGCGTCCAAGCTTCCATCTCACCCATGGGTCCCCGAGGTCCGCGTTCAGCAGTATCACCCAAAGCTTCCTCTCCCTCTCAGTCTCCATCGCGTAAACATCATGGGCGGTCTAGTCTTGATACGGGCTTGGCGAGGATGATGCCCCCGCCGGTTTTGGGTAGGGGCGAGAGGGAGGGGAGAGGGAGTTTGGATGGGGGAGTGGTTGTCATTGGGAAAGAGCGCCAGATACCTATCAGTGCGCCGTCACCCTTGTCTGCTGGATCTGGAGCGGGAGGGGTCAGTGGGATAGATGATATTAGGACGATGGTGGATGTGTTGCCGCACGTGGAGAAGAGCGTATTGAGAGCGTACCTTGTGAATAATGGGAATGACCAGATGAGGGCTCTTGGGTGAGTCATAGCGATTGGTTTTGGAACATTACTGACGAGCCACAGGGCGTATCTGGAAGACGAGAGACATGGGACAGTGCGGTATTGAAAGGGGAGCGACATAATGACGGCCATACCTTGATGTTCTAACGACTAGTATCCTATATACTGATGCATATGCTCTACTACGTGACTCTAGGAAGAGAATTGCGCCACCAAGTATTGACTGACACTTGTAGGGCTCAACGGCGCCCCCAAGTCTGTAATGATGAAATCGATCAAATCCGGAGTAGTCACATCGACCATCGGATTATTCTCTTCCATCTCTTTCGTCATTTCCGTTCTAGTGAACGGCTTGCCGCCGTCACCATCCCGGCCAGAGAACTGGGGTGGGGTAGCAGGCGCTTGGGGCGCTGGGGGATGGGAAGGAGCACGAGATTGAGGGGCTTGGGAGGAAGGCCTGGATAGAGGGGCGGTGGGTTGGAACAATGAAGGTGCGTTGGGCAAGTTGGTGTTGAACTCCAACGGGATGGTGGACCTCGGCACGGACGATGGGGCAGACGGAGCTGCTGTGGAAGAGGCGGCAGAAGGCATGGGGAGGTCGGTCTGCGAGAGAGGGTAGTGACGGAGGAATTTGTAGGATTCGGCGAGGGCGTAGAAGGGTTTTTGCATGACCTTGGCGGTGAGAGCGACCTGGTAGGTGCCGACAGAAGAGACAAGGCCCTAGAAATGGGTCAGCTTGGGGCACACTACTTGGGACGGGAACGTACGCCACTCTCGACGACAGCCTCAGAACCGACAAGCACCATGTCGACACGCTCCATCACATATGCCACGGCGCTGTCCAGCACGACTTCACAGGGGATTCCGTTGGCTGTGAGGATCTGGTGGGTCTTCATACTACACTCAATCAGCTTGTCTCTTTTGAACAGGAAAGCGACAAACCCGAGACAACCCGGTCGGGCTTCCGTGACGTAGACTCGTATTCTCTTGTGCTGCTGGTGAGCTCGGAGGATGGTTTGCATGACTGTTCTCGAGTAGCTGTGGGTGAGAATCTGCATGATTGTTAGGAGCAGCGCAACGGCAAGGAAGACATGACATGACATACGACACAGTCATCTCTCAGGAAACCGACAGCCAACTCGGCGATTCTTTCCCTACATTGAGGAGCTGTGATGGAACAGAACGATCTGCCTTGAGAGATCAATGACCGCTTGAAAGCGGGGAATTCCTGCAGCCACGTATGAGCCCAAGTCAAGCAGAAAGGTAGAACGCACCTCGCCGACACCAGGAAAGACGGCAAAGAATCTCTCCCAGAGCTGACAACCAGCTCTCACACCAAGACTTGTTTGTGTGTTGATCAAAGCCTGTCGCCCAACAGTCAACTCGGAGGCGAGTCCAGTCACGGTTGAAGCTGGAGAGGGTCAGTCGACAGCAACTATGGTAAATTGACGAAAATAATCAACGCACCTGTGGAGGCCTCCATGAGCTCTACAAGAGCAAGGATCGCAGCAATGGGGTGGGGGACCTCATGGGATGCATTAGCATGTGATACACAAGAATAGCGAATACTCACCTTGTCGTCCTCAAGGGCTCTCCTGTAGGCGGAAACGACGTCAAAGCCCTTCAATGTTGCGCGTGCAGCAGGGTGGGCGAGGGGGGCGGAACGAGCGTTGCCAGTGTTGGAGGGTGCCGGGGAGAGCGAGAGGGGGCTTGCTATGCCTGCCATGGTCGACTGAAGGGGCGGTGGAAGGAAGAAAAGAAGATGAAAGTGAAAGTGGAGGACTTGCCTCATAATTCTTGAAATCTATCCATCTCTCACTATATTCTTCAGAATGCCTAGAATCAATCCCAGTACCCTCTTGAGGACAGCCAATGGCTATTCCAGCTCTCTCCCCCGACGTGCACTCGCCAGGCCTCCCCTGAACCCCACCCCCGCTCTGATGACACGGAGGCTCCAATCTACGACCACAGGCCCTGCAACCGGAAATGCTCAGCAAAAGGCATCAACAGAACCTCCCAAGGAAGAGGAAGTCCCGAAGGATGACGAAGAAAAGCTTCCATGGTGGAAAAGAGGGTTGAAGGTCAACTGGATGTTCACCACGCTTGCCGGTTTTGGTGCGTTGGTGACCATCTATGGTGTGTAAGTAGCTTCAAATTGTATCGACTGTATTAGTGTTGATTGAGATCATTACTACAGCTTGGAGTTCTACTCTACCTTGACAAGATGGCCCCAACCGGTGAGAAAGCCTCTCCGAGCCGCTCTGAAAGCCAAGATGAGAGGCGACTATGGTAAAGCCGAGCAATACTTCAGGGAGTGCGTCCGTCGGCCAGATCCTATTAAAGCTCTGCTGATATGATTGTAGAGCTCTCGAAATCGCCCTTGAGCTTGGCCCCGCAGCTTTGGAGCCCGACCCCCTGCTCAAGATATCAGGTATATACGCTGAACTTGCCGCCGTTCTAGAGCTTCGCCTACAGAGGATTTCTGCTTTTGTCGAGCTCCGTACAGCTCTGGAGCTCTTTGGCTCTGATCCCCTCCGATTGCCTACATCTGTAGCTTCGCCGACTGAGGCTGCAGCTCTGGGTGGTGGCCCCGGAGGGGAATGGATCAGCCCCACCTACTCCCTCACAGAGAAAGACCATGTTCGCGCTATCGGGCTCTACCAAAAGCTCGGCCAGCTGGCTCTCGAGGTCGCTTCTTCACCCAAAGCACCCACCTATGAGTCTACAATCATAGAGGGCATCAATGTATCACCGCACCAGGTATTTAAAGACTGGGACGACGCGGCCGAGTATTACCTCTCCTCCGCTTTGAATACCATGTTGAAGATCGGCCTCCAGCCCCCTGCCTCTCCAACTTCTGCTCCCAGCCCCGAAAACCCTGTCATACTAGGCAGAGACATCAACCTTCCCTCCGCAGCCCCTTCTGAGAATCCTGAAGACCCCGAGCAAGGTGGCCAAGTCGACAAGCGCGGTCTCTGTATGACCATGGAGTCTCTCTCTGAAGTTCACGCGAGGAAGGGAGAATACAACGTAGCAGGGCAGCTGTTACTGCAGGCTGTGAGCGTTTTGATGCCTGCCGGGGAAGAGGAGCCGCCGTTGAGGGACAGGTGCCAGGCAGCTATGGTCCGTTTCCCATTCAACCCTCTTCGAGGATTCTGACATTCTCTTAGCTCATGACCACAATCTCTTCCCACGCTCTTCACCCCCCCTCGTCCAAAGCCCTCAAAGTGTCGAGATCCTGGTCACTCCGCGCTCTCCAAGTGGCGCAACAATCGCTGGCCAGCGAAGGTGAAAAGAGTTCGCTGAATGATTCGCCCTTGGAGGCTGCGGCCGCGGTTTGTGAAAGGGCAAGGGCTGTAGGACTGCATAATTTGGGAATGATCGCCGAGGTAAGTTCACGTGAGAGTTGGAGATTCATGTGACTGACAAGGGTTCAAGATGGAGAAGGATTATCCAGGAGCGCAGAACTTGTTTAACAAGGCGCTCTCTGTTGCGCGTGAGACTGGATTCTCAGAGGGGAAGAGGGAATCACTGGCTGCTTTGCGTAGAGTACAAAAGCTCGCAGAGGCCGCAGTCAACGCCAAATGAGTGGAGTGTCGACTGGAGAGATGCGGCATGGATGCATTGATACACAGTGACTCAGCATCATCGAGGTTGATACTACGTATACACATTAGAAAAATTGTCGTAAAATAATCGTGACACATGGAAACATCCAGAAGAATAAATGTCCGTCTCCATCTCAGACTTGGAATCCGCTCAGACCCTCTCCAAAAACCCGACGTCGAACCCTCCCATACCCCTCTTCATCGCTGGATACACCTTGTTGCTCTCTTTCAAGATCATTTCCAGCCGGGTGCACACTTCAGCGGGGTAGGCGAGGTGCTCGATCTGGTTCGTACCAGCAAAGCCCGGAAGGGGTGGTCGGCCGCTAGTCCACAGATCAGATCAATCACGACAGGGCAAAAGTAGAATACGTACTCGATAACTTCCTCTGCCGACTTGAACATGACCTTGACAGCCTTCAGCACCCTGCTCCTCTTCTCATCGCCCCCGCTCCCTTCGGTCTTGGCTGTGACCGAGGCCAGAGAAGATCTTCGCGATTTGAGACTCCTTCTCTCACTGCCCCCATTCGGCTTGAAAGATGATCTCAAAGGCGAAGGGAGAGGCGACGCAGGCCCAGCGGGCTGATGGCCTTTGCAATACGAAATGGAGGTCGAGCTGTTGAATAGCCAGATATACAATCGTTTGGATTGCGTCTCTTCGTCCGAGATGATGAACCTATAGCTAGCATGCGCCTGAGCAAGCTCGAGCATGTCAGAGACCACAAACACGGACAGAGGTGCTCTTATTAGTCTGCATCAAGTCATCAGCGATGAATCAGGGTGGGGTGCCACAACTTACGGTGGATTAGCAGCGTCATCCTCGGCGTGGATATCATCTCTCAAAAGCCCTACGGCCCATTTGGAGAGCCGTAAAGTGCCAGCTCCTGGCTTTCCATCATCGGTTCGTTGTTTGCCGACGACTTCGCCGCACTTGCAAGCAATGGGGCGCCAGGAGTCGTTCTTTCAAGCAAAGTCAGCATCATCGACTTGTACAGTATGATTGCAAGAAAGAAGTATATAAGAAAGATGTATCCTTGTGTGTAGCCTTTGCTCGTTTGATCACAACAAGTCAAAGGTTTGATTACAGGACCCTCTTAGAGAGGTACGATTCGATATTGGGCATTTGTATCAACCAAAAGAGCAAAAAGCTCCTGCCGCTCAACACCTCGTCTCCCGCTTCAGATCTACCTCGCCAACAGGCTGTAGAGGGAGAAACTTGCTGAGAGTTTCGCGCCTCACGTCCAGAGTGAAGGTAGGCGGAAAGCGAAAGAGAGGACGAAGAGGGCCATCCACAGGAGGGGACGAAGGCCTTCTTATTGGCCCGTGGGGTATCAAGGAATAGAAAAGAGAACATTGAAGCACTTACCTCATTGCCTTCACCAGCCTTCAAATTCTCCCACCTGCCTCTACACTCCTCAACCAACACCCAACTACCCCCGCAAAGCACCCCTCCCTCCTTGGGCCAGAACCCTTCCTCCACCATCCCTGCCAACCTCCCCGTAAAGGTCGGGTCATCGTGACACATCCAGATATCAATCATCTCTGCCCAATGCTGACTTGGGAGGTCTTTGTAAGACTGTTCAAGGGTTGAGGAGTACGGGGACGGGAGAGATGAGAGAGGGCGTTCGCACGCGGTACAAGTGAGGAGGGAAGGCTTGATACGACGAAAGTCGGGGGCAGAGAGAGCATGCGCGATGGTAAGCGACTGTGCAGCCGGGGGCAGAGCTACAGCCGCAAGCTTGCACTCCCAGCTCAGGCCCTGCTGTACGACCTGTACGCTTTGACCCGTGTGCACCGGCGCAGGAAGAGTAATTGGAAAGTTGACGGAGGGGTCGCGTTCGGATGTTGCAATGGCCTGTGTAGTAGACTGGCCTTGGTCGGTGAAGGCTGTCCCGAGAGTCAGGTCGAGGTTGGAGAGGCCGGAGCCTTGGAGGATGATTTGGACAGAACGAAGGTTTTCTTGATGCTCAGCCACATAGCTAATACTGTTGACATCTGGCCAAGAGTCAGCTCTGCCTCCGTATCGGAATGATTGGGACATACCAAACGACGGTGCCGACTTCAAACCGAGATGCACGCTCCCTCTTCTGACCGCCCCCTCAATCTTACTGACCAACTTGCTCTTTCCACCTCCTTCTGAATTGGATCTCTCCCTCAACATCTTGTCTCCCTTCTCCTTCTCGCTACTCTTCGAGGGTGGCGAGGGCGGCCTCGACGAATTCAAAAAGTCCGTCACACTGACCTCCTCGAACGGATCCGTCTCGCTCTCCTCATACCTCGCTCCTCTCGGCGTAGGCGGCAGACTATCCTGATCCGGCAGCCTCCTCGAGCCGACTTCAAGCAGCGTATCTACCAACTGCTCGTGCTTTTGCGTCAGCCGATCTTCGAGGGTTGTCGGATAGTCTTGCGATTTGAGGCGGGTGGTGGCGGTGTGGGAGATGAGGGTGGATAGGAGGGCTTGTTTTTTGGCGAGGGAGGCGGCGGTGAGGTCGGAGAGGGGAGCGTCGGCGTCTTGGTTGTTCATCCTGCCGCCGGCCGATTGTTCAACGAGGTCTCGCAAGAAAATGTCTTTCTGTAGTAGCTCATGAGCATGAGGCGGGAGACGAACGAAGAGACGTACATCTTTCAAATCGCGAGCTCGAGCAAGCTCTGCGTCGACCGAGCCCATCTTGGAATCCTGTTCAGTCAAGCGGCTAGCTTCACTTTGCTCTACGATTCTCGTAATGAATCTCTCCTTCTGTGGGACAGCATCAGCACCAGAGTCACGTCTAAACCATGGGACTTACTGTTCTCGCACTGAGACCTTCTGATTTAGCCCTTTGGTCCTCCATCACCTCGTACCTCCCTCCATTCATCAACATCCATATCTCATCAAGCTCTTTCCTCTTCACTCTCTCAAGCTTTTCACTATCTTCCAGCCTCAGCTCCCTCGCCCGCGCTCCATTCATAGTCTCTGAGGTTCTACGAGCAGCACGAGGTTTGATCTCAACGCGCTGATTTTGGAAGCGAGGTGCCGCGTCGTACAGACGTTCGATAGCCAAAGTAACAGCTTCAAAATCGCTGAGCATCTTTTCCCTCTGTGCTGTTGGTCTCTCCGGAGCAATCGTATCTAGAGAAGCGCGGTTCTTCGAGTCTGGAGCCTTCAAAGTCGAGTCTGCCAACTGTGTAGAGGTCGGAGGGAAATCTGAATAGCTCGGCAGTCCCACATCACTCTCATGCCTCTCATACCTCGGTGGTAGTCCTTCCACCAAGCCACAAATCCCCTCCGCACCTTGCTTGACCAACTCTAGAACCACATTACTCAAACTCTCCATCCTCGCCCAAGCCAACTCTCTCCTAACCTCCCCTACCGACGGATGAAAATCTGTCGGCCTCGGGGTGGTCGGTGAGTCGGGAGAGAGCTGATTGAGGGTCAAAGAGGTGGAACGAGCGTGTTGAAGATGTTTGAGGCTCAAGGCGAGGTCGTTTGGCGGGAGGGTTTGGGTATCGTCGGGCAGCTCGGTCGGTTCTTCCGTGGAGGTGATGGGGGGAGGGACGAGACCTTCAAGCTCGTAGGTGACTTCGAGCAGCTCCATCAAGGCGCTAGCCAGCTGGCTCTCCTCGCCAAGCCTGTGGAATTCTCCATTGCCATTACGCTGAGAAGGGCTGCCTTGCCCGGGGGCGAGCTCGTCTGGGAGAAAGGCAGAGAGGACCTGCGCAATTGAGCGCTGGACTGATTGCAATGACCTGGTCATATCCTATAGCGCAAATGTCAGTCCTGTATAACATGCAAGACGAAGCGTGCGTACAGCCTGGTCGACAGATGGGGACGAGGATCCGATGTCATTTTGCAGCAGATCTGTCGGGAAAGGCGCTGGGGGAGGAGGGAGATCTTGCTGTTGCTCGAATGATGGAGGAGCTTGCTCTACAGGTCGGACTGCCTCCATTGTGGGTGATGGAGAATGAAGAAGGTGGAAATGGAGATTGGGCTGTGAAGTGTCTATCTAGCAGAGGCCTGCGGCGGACCGAGTGGCTATGCCCTGGTCACGGAGAGGATGGCGGGGAGGGGCAGGCCGGTGATGGGGCAGGAAGCGAGATCTGAGCGATCGTTTTCGATGTTTGTTGGTGAACGGGACAAGTGAGAACAAGAGAACAAGGTGGAATGGAAATGGAAAAGTGCGGCGCGATAGTCAAAACATGGCCTCAAAGACGTGGCACTGGCAGTCGAAGGCATGGGATGGCTTCCAGCCTCGGGATTGCATGAAATCAGTGGGGGTCATAGATTACTGAACCTTTAGATCCATATGAACGTAGGTGCATGTCATGTATGAAAGCCTCGATCACAGGTGCAGCCCTTCTTCTTCCCCAGACGCCGGCGCCTGCTCTGTGGTCGTCACAGGCGCATCGCTCGCCCACCATCTTCTTCTCCCGGCTAGACCACCTCCAGGCTCACCATACCGCCTAAACACATCTCCCGCATGCCACCCGGGTGCCCCAATTCCGAGATCAGGGCGGACTTTGTTGATCAGAGCCGCTGCCAGAAGAGCTATTCTTTCGTTCTGCCGGGGCCTACCATTGAATCAGTTCACATCAGGACTTGAGCTGGGGGAATTATACTGACATGAGCTCCTCGTTCTCTCTGATAGCCTCAATACAAGCCTGCTGACTTTCTGGATCCCCCCGCCCCTCTTCAGACTCTAGAAACTCTTGCAACTGGTCTTGGCTAGAGTAGAGATGTTCCAGTGAGTTGGTGAGCCTGATCACCTCTAGATCAAAAAGTATGAGTAACTCCTATTAACCAGTAATTGCATTTCGCTGCTCACCCGTGATCAGAGTATCCAGCTCGAGATTGACAGCTTCTTCGAGCGTGAACGGTTGCGAGTGGTGAGGACTGAAGGAGACACGCTGAGACATGGTGTAGTCGACAGAGGGGAAGGTGATGTGAATGGGCTGCCGGGACATATATGCTGAGAAGTGGAAAGAAAGTACAAGGAGGATTGTTCAGAAGGCTGCCGACCGACGGTGATGCCGGGTGGAGGTGGAGGCAGATGCTCTATAGCATAGCTCACTTGTCTCTTGCCTTCTGTCTATGGAGTACGCTGAAAGTATATATATTCTATGATTGTCTGTAGAGAGTGGTACTCCCTGTGAACTATCAGCTATCCTACTTCACTTGTGAGCATCGCGCAGAGACTGTACGCGGGAAATCACTGCCGTCATCGGAAGCAGCAGAGTTCGAGACATCCGACGATGGTAATTCATATGCATACCCGAGTAGCGTACCATGCATACCATGACTAGCATTTATGCATACTGAGCATAACATATACCCCAGCATGAACCCGGTCCCAGTTGATTCGCCGAGAATCACGTCAAGTTGCCGAGCCGGTGATTCCATAGAACCACGCATCTCTCTCCCATCGATATCCCCATCTCCACAATGTCTGCCAAATCAGTCAAACTCTCCCCCGCCATCAAAGCCCTCCTCTCCGCCCCCCATGCTCAAGGCGGGCCCATCCCAGCCCCTCCTCGAGCCACGATCAACTCGCTTTTCGACCGTATTCGTACTCGGGGCGAAGCCGGCGGTGTCGGCGCTCCCACCTGGCTCACGGTATCCACCGGAGCGCTGGTTACTACGAATTCGCCTGATTCGGTGAGGGCCTTGTGGGATTATGCGTCAGAGAGAAGCGGGGGGCTGGGGGAGAAGGTAGAGGCTGCTGGGGTCATTCGAGAGACGGCGTTAAAGTGCATCTCGTTCTCCGGCATTCCGAGGGTGAGCGCCTTTATGACTGGTGACTTGTAGAGCTGACTTTCGTAGACGATCAACGCGCTCACTTCTCTCCGTGCCCATCTCCCCGAGGATGTCATCAACGAGCTCTCTACTACTCCCACCAGGCAAGTCCTCTGCCAATGTTACCGTGTTTCTGACTCTCCCTGCAGGAAACTGACCCCCCAAAACGTCACAGAGACCCTTGCTCGCGGTCAATCCCTATGGGACGCAATCTACGAACCCCTCTCCGCCAAACTCCTCTCCAAACTCTCTGACGCCCACCCGGACTTGCCAGTCCACATTCTCACCTCCCACTACTCCCACCTCCTCTCAGACCCCTTCACCACCCCTCCTCCCGGTGGTGCCAAAGTAGGAAGGGTCTTGACTAGTGTAGTGTCCATGGCTTGTTTGAGAGCGCAACAGGGGGTGGGACCTCAGTTGACGAGCCATGTCTTTGGGCTGAAGAAGAGTCTGCTTGAAGGCGGCGGGGCCGAGAGGGAGGCGCCGCTCAAGGGGCAAGAGTGGTTGACGAGTGATGAAGGTGTGAGATGGGTTTTGGAGAGTACGGATGAGATTAGCCAGGTGTTGACCGAGGGACGAGCGAGCTTTGCTGGACCTGTCAAGGCAAAGCTATAGAGACACGTAGATAAGTATATATGAAAAGTAGACATGACATTGCGGTCATTATAAACAAAGCTACACTTCGACATCTCCAACATGGACCCTCACCCAAAAGGTGAACGTCTTGTACTCCTCCTTGATCCTCTCCTCCCTCCTGCCGCCTTCATTCTCTATGGGAGTACCCTCTCCCTCCGCTCGATATGTATACCTCACTTCAAGATCAAACTCTACCGGGCCATCTGCCTCTGCCAACGTCTCCACCTCAACAGTAACCTTCGAGATGTTGCCCTTCTTCTCCACGCCCAGCTCCTTATTATGCCTCTTGTCCCTCATACTTGCCCCGAGTACGCTCATCCTTTTCTTCCCCAGGGTACTATGCGTACCCGTCCCAGTTCCAGTCCCAGTCCCCGTCGTAAAACTCATAGCATCCTCACTCCCATCCGCCTCCTCATCCACCTCATCTTCATCATACGCCCACGCATCCTTCAGCGCATTGATCGTAAAGTGCGGGGTCAGCACGCTCATCTGATGATTCGGCGTGGGCGCGTGGCGGGGGAATGCAGGCTGGGTGAGCCGGATTTGGATGGGGTCGTAGAGCGGGTTTGTGAGGGCCAGTTGGAAAGTATACGTCTGAGAGGGACGGAGAGGGGAAGAGAGAGGTTCCTCTTCTTCCTTCATCCCATTTGGCAGGATAGTCCGACGTCTCCTCTCTTTTCGCCTCCTCTCGGCATCTTCGCCCGAAGCCGACAGTGTCGACCCACTAGGCTCTTCCAGGTCCCCGCTCTGCACCCGGCGGCGGCGCCGACCAATTTCAATGACGGGGAGGTAGTTGGCAGCGACCATCTTGATCTTCATCCGGATGCCTTTAGTGTCAGGCTGGATGAGGAGATGGCGGCAGTTGGGGTCGGGACATCGCTTGGTGAGTTTGGTCTTGAGAGGGATTCGCTGAGGGAGAGTAGCTCTGAAAGATGGGGTCAGCAAAAAGTCAATTATTGGGATAAGAGGACATACTTGGCCATACGGTCACTCTCCCAACTCTTGTCCCATCGCTTCTCCAGCTCGGCCACTCCTTCCCACCCACCATGTTCCAGCCCAGCCATAAACTCTCCCGCCTCGAGCCCCTTTTCCAGACCCAAATCCCTCCAACTACCCTTCGCTTTATACTCGCCCAACTCATCCCACCCCACCTTCTCTTTCCCCTTCTCTTCCCCTCCCAGACCGGGGCCAGCGCGCTTCTTACCAGCCATCCCCGGAACTGGCCGATGCAGCGCTTTAGCAGCCATCTGCGTGAGGTGAGAGATGTGGCGCGAGGGTACGCGGGTGCGCTGGGGTGTAGGCGGGTTGGAGGTGGTGATGTATGATTCGAGATGGTCTTTGATAGAGTCAAATTCTGATTGAACTTTTTCTGTTTGTGTATGGATCTTTTGAAGTTGCACTATGCCTCGTCAGCTCTACAACAGGATGAATGGTGAGGGAGGGGTGTGTGACGCACGGGCGATACCAGTAGGCTTCTCAAACTCCCAGCCGACCTCTTTGCTACTCCATTTGCAGCCAGGACATACCAGCAAATAAGGTGCACCTGCCGCAGCGTTCGCGCCTTCTGCCACCTCTTGTCCAGGCGCAAGGTCAGAAGCTTGGATAGCCAGACTTGAAGTACATTGCGGGCATGAGAAGCACGACCTCGCGCATCTGATCTCTTGTCAGTATGGTATGCTTTCCTCTAGATATGAACTACACTTGCCTGTTCTTGTCGCCCCTGACGTTCGCCCCCGGGACATCAAACAAGCAATTCGGACAAAAGAAACTAGCCACCTCGACACCGACGCAGAGGTCGCAGCGGATAGCGTCGCATTCTTCGCAGAAATAGAGCTTTTCCAAGGGCGAGAAAGAAGGGTGCGATGATGGGTATGATGGGGGTAGAGGTTGCGAGGGGGGGTCGAGGTGCGTACACGAGTAGAGAATGGACATTGAGGGCGATTGAGTGTGATGTTTTCGCCTTTACCAAACTTGTAGATTTTGTCAGCGCATAATACCGGATATATTGCCAGCTTGTAGGACTCACTCTCGATGTAGAAGATATACCAGCAGTGATAAAAGTCAAATGATAGAGGACATGGGCGCAGAGGAGCGGGATCAAAATACGCGTCGCGTCCATCGTTCTGGGCATCTCGAACGCAAACTCTCTTATTCCTCGCTTCCATCCCATTTCTTCCTCCCCCTGCCTCCCCCAGCTGCCAGGAGACCCCTCCTCTCGACGACCCCCCTCCCCGCACTCACATCTCCCGGCACTCCCACAGCCTCCCCGCGCGCTCCTATCAAACACAACAAACCCTGTGCTATCTTTACCCACCATGTCCCTCGACAACTACCACAAACTCGAGAAAATCGGTGAAGGTGCGCACAATCCTCTGCTTGTTGCTACAGACGTTCATCCGCTGACTTGCGCTATCTCTTCTCCCTTCCCGTCAACCCTGGAAAAATCGCTCCTAAAAGGTACCTACGGTGTCGTCTACAAGGCCAAAGACATCAACACCGGCGGCATCGTCGCCCTCAAGAAGATTAGATTGGAAGCAGAGGATGAGGGTGTACCCAGTACCTCCATCCGAGAGATCAGTCTGTTGAAGGAGCTGAGTAAAGATGACAACATTGTCAAGTGAGTGGTCCCCTAACATGGTCCCTGTGCAGGGAGGCAGGGTTGGGAACCAGGGTTGTAGAGAGAAGAAACTCATGTTGCTCTATCAGGCTGTTGGATATTGTGCACTCAGAGGCCAAGCTGTACCTCGTGTTCGAGTTCCTCGACATGGACCTGAAAAAGTACATGGACTCTCTCGGCGAGAAGGACGGTCTCGGACCGGACATGGTCAAGGTGCGCTTGATCCTCCTTCATTCTCTGTCTCCACGCTAAAATCACTGGAATAGAAATTCTCCTACCAACTCATCAAAGGAATCTACTTTTGCCACGGCCACCGTATCCTTCACCGTGATCTCAAACCCCAAAATTTGTTGATCAACAAGGGTGGAGATCTCAAGATCGCTGATTTCGGTCTCGCTAGAGCTTTCGGTATCCCTTTGCGTACTTATACCCACGAGGTGAGTCTTGTTATATTACTGTGTGCGGTGCTGACAATGATAGGTTGTGACGCTCTGGTACCGAGCGCCCGAGGTGCTTCTTGGTTCCAGACATTACTCTACTGCTATCGACATGTGGTCTGTCGGATGTATTGTCGCGGAAATGGCCACCCGTCAACCCCTCTTCCCCGGTGACTCTGAAATCGACGAGATCTTCCGTATTTTCCGGTACGTCACCTGCCAATCGCATTGACTTCACTGACAATGTGCAGAGTCCTTGGTACACCAGATGAAGACGTCTGGCCCGGCGTGCGATCCCTTCCCGACTACAAGCCCACTTTCCCTCAGTGGAGCCCTATCAACTTGGGTGATGTGGTCAAGGGTCTCGATGCGGACGGTATGGACTTGGTGGCGCAAACTTTGGTGTTTGACCCCGCTCATAGGATCTCTGGTGCGTCATTTCTTTGGCCGTAAGATCGAGCTGACAAGCGTTGAATCATAGCCAAGCGAGCTCTCCGACACCCCTACTTTGACACTGTCAACCTCGCCGCCGCCTAAGCGTGCTCCATACCTTTCCCCAACCGCCTCTACAACTTGTCTCACACACGACACATCACGAATCTAGCTAGCTGGCCTCTTCCTCATCTCTTGAGTGCGGGAATAGTAAATCGAGAATCTGAACTCTAAGAATCCCCTCTTCTTTCTCCTTCTTGCTCGTCGTTCCTCGAACAGTAATGATGTATGTATCTTTTTGGCTCTAGTATACAGTTCATCACATTTGCGTACAATACGTGAGCTTTATCCAAAGTTGGCCCATTCAAGGGAATAGAATTCGACCTCTCCTTCCTTCTCTCTATCCTCATCAACAGCTTCATCACCTCTCTTCCCGTCGTCCCAACAGCATATCAGACCCGCCTTCTTCGTTCCGGTTCCCAATCGTCCCCAAGCCACAATTTCCTGCGGCTTGATCGGTTCATCTCTGACGATCACCTGACTCGTAAAGTGGGCGTGATACCGCAGATAGTCACCCGGGTATACAAGCCATTCTCCACCAAACCGCGGTCCAAGACCGACACGATAAGAAAGCGAAGATAGACGGGAGAAGGCGGATAGGAGGGCGTGGTGTCGGGGTGTTGAGGGGAAGGGGAAGAGGGGATGGGGAAGGGATGTGATGGTAGATGAAGACGAAGCCTCGGATGAGACGACAGGGTGGGCGGGGACGATGTGAAAGTGCCCAGGCGACACCGTTTGTGTCTTTGGTTTCTCCTTCACCTCCTTCACATCTTTCTGTTCGAACGGTTCTTCTGCCCCAGCGGCTTTTGCCTTCTCCGCCTTTGCCTTTGCCCTAGCTTCCCTCTTCAGCCTCGCCTTCTCGCCCCCATGATCGAAAAGCTTTCTAGACTCTGCTTGTCTCTTGACTTCCTCCGCGGCAGCCTTCTCCTCGAGAGCTCTTACACGGGCTATACGAGCGGCCGTATGGGCGGCTATAGTAGCCTTAGATGGAGGTCCTGGCGTAGGGTTCAAAGGGACGATGTGGGCGATCCCTACACGACGTTGAGCGCTGTTTCGGTACAAAAGCATAGAAAGATACCTTCTTGTAATAGGAAAGCAGTCTCTTCCTGCATAAGCGTCATGGGCAATCCCAAGAACCCATTCTGCTGAGACACACCAGGCAGAGTCCCCGCCCTCAGACCTGATATCCCATATTCACAGTGCAAAGTGGCAGCCGCTACATCCTCCCGTCAGCTGTGCGCGAATACAAGGAACGAGTCGATATGGAACTCACTTTGAGCGTCCCAGATAGTGGCGATACCGTTGACCAGGTATATGGGTATGCTGCCTTCTTTCGGGGGTGGCTGTGGCCGAGTGGACGGCTCTCCGTTCTTGAGCATGGCCATGATGAGTGGTGAGTGGCACAGAAAAGTGGAGGATTTTGAAAGAGAAGAGTGGAGGAATATTACGTAAAGAGCCGCCGACCATCTCTTGCGACGACGGTACGACGAGAGTCCAAATCTCGTGTTCTCTACAAATACAGCTACAAGTACACCTTCCAGTCTTCGCCATACTCCTGCCACCATGGTAAGTAAGGGGAAAAGTCAGGAACTAGCTGGAGCTGACAATGTCTCCCGTAGTTAATCTTCTCGTGAGTCTGACATTCCCTAAAATAGTCCGCCCCGGCAATACTATATCATTCCTCGCGGCTCCAACCTACACCATCGAGAATATCACTGGAATATGGACTCGAGTTCTACCAAGAGAATATACGACTTGACCTGGTACTAATGCCTGGGTAGCTTCTTCAAGACCCTTACCGACCAAGTGATCACCATTGAGCTGAAGAATGACTTGTCAATAACCGGGACCTTGAAGTCCGTCGACCAGTACGTCTTTTCCATACTGTCATATAGCCCTTGTGCCCTTATTGGATCCATGCCCAACCAGTATTGGCAGAGAATGGATCTAGAGGCTCAAAAGAAAGCAGAGCGCTGGCTGACAACCTAATAGATATCTCAACATCCGATTAGATAACATCAGCGTGGAAGACCCCGAAAAACACCCTCACATGGTATGTTTACTCAATTGCTTTCTGCTGGATGTCTTCCGAAGTCCGTCTACCAGACGTGAATCACCTTCATGTCCGCTCTGTCCGAAGGGCCGATGTCTTGGTTCATTCTGACACTTACCTGCTGGCCACTGGTGTCACAAGAGCATTGTGCTGACTCAATACTCGTAGCTGGCTGTCAAGAACTGTTTCATTCGAGGTTCCGTCGTGCGATACGTGAAGATGGCCGCGAGATCAGTTGACACGACGCTCCTGGAGGATGCTACCAGGCGAGGTGAGTCAAATCCATAACACTATAGTCCTTCATACAGGACCGCCCCGACACTGGCCAGCGGCTGACCGTCTGCAGAGGCGAAGGAGAGCAGGAAGTGATAATGAGGATGATCAGGGGAGAGGGTTTAGGCGGGCGCGAAGTTAGAGAGGATAGGGATATTTCCCAATTGTATACCTATATGCATGATACATTATACTGGCACCCGCTCTCAGTCGCATGCACATACGACGATGTATGCCTCTCATGTGTCGCCATCGTTGGATCCTCAAGAAGACACCTATCAATACAGTCCCAAGCCAGGCACGCACCATTACAAAAGTCGATGCGCCTCTTGCACCTTTATCCTACTCTTAACACCTCGGGCGCCTGCAATGCTCCCCTCTTTCGCCCGCTCTCGGGTCTGTGCTCGCCCTTTCATATCCTCCATCTCTCCGACTTCCCTCACTTCCTCCCTGCGCCCATTCCCTTCAACTACCTCGTCTCTCTTGCGTTCACGCGTCCTGACGACCTCCTCAACTTCTCTCTCTTCCCCCTCTACCTCTTCGCCTTTGGACAGTACCAGACCAGCTCCCGTCCCCGAAACATCTTCTTCAAAAATCACTTCAGAGCTGCTGGCGCCGAAGGAAGTGCTCCCACCAACAGCGCCTACAATCATCGACAAGCTTGTCCCGAAATGGGCAGAGAAAGCCAAGCCGTACTTGTACCTTACGCGTATCGATAAGCCTATTGGATCTATCCTTCTCTACTGGCCTGGAGGTAAGTCTCTCTTTGATATTTTGGCGGCTGTAAGCTGATTTGGGGCAGCATGGGCGATCACGATGGCCTCCACCGTACACCACCTCCCCCCTTCTGTCCCCATCTTCTACATGGGCCTCTTCGGTGTCGGAGCTCTGATCATGAGAGGTGCAGGGTGTATCATTAATGATATGTGGGATGCCAAGATGGACCGTCAAGTCGGTAGGTCTCTGCTTCCCTGCTGTGAGACCAGGTCATGGCTGACAGTGGTGCAGAGCGGACAAAGACAAGACCGATGGCATCTGGAGAAGTCACGCAGCTTGGAGCTCTGACATTCTTGGCGTCACAACTCTCTATAGGGCTTGCTGTCCTTACCCAGCTCAACTGGTACAGGTACGTTCTCGAACCCATCTCGGGACACAATATTGATGACTGCCATCTAGTATCGCCTTGGGTGCTTCTTCCCTGGGCTTGGTGGCGCTCTATCCATTCATGAAGAGGGTCACCTACTTTCCTCAAGTGGTCCTCGGTATGTCGTTTCACCTCGTGCAGCTCGAGGCGTCAGACATCTAACAATCGATTTAGGTTTCACTTTCAACTGGGGCGCTCTCCTCGGCTGGTCTGCCGTAGCCGGTGTCGTCGACTGGTCCATCGCGACCCCCATGTACCTCGGTGGCGCTCTATGGTGTGTCGGTTACGACATGATCTACGCTCACCAGGTTCGTGTCCCTCCTCCAACCCTTCTTCAGCTCCATCTGACATTCAACAGGACAAGACCGATGACGTCCTCGCCGGCGTCAAGTCCATGGCCCTCTACTTTCCCGACACCTCCCGCCAAGTCATCGCCGGCCTCTACACCACCTTTGTCTCCCTCCTCGCCTTCACCGGACACATGGCCGGCCTCGGACCGCTCTACTACCTCATTTCGTGCGGTGGCGCCGCCGCCCATCTTGCTTGGCAGGTGTTGACGGTCAACTTTGACTCTAGGCCGGATTGCTGGAAGAAGTTTAGCTCGAATGGCTACTTGGGAGGATTGATCTGGTTGGGAGTGGCGGCTGATTATGTGCAGCAGGTTGTTCTTGGGGTGGCTGCTTGAGGTGGCGATGTATGTGAAGAAGGTATGAAGAGTGGCGATATGCTACATATGCATGATGGAACAAACACCCTCGATAACCAGCATAACGCGATAATACTTCTTTTAGATCATCTAAGGTGTACCCCCCAAGAAGTTCCGGGCCTTACTCGCTTGAGTATCCCAGTCATCTTTGAACGCTGCGATGCCCACGAGCACACCAGCCGCGAAGACTAGGCCTGTCAGTCGTGACCCACAGCCTCAACACATGCTTGGAACTCACAGCAGCAAGCGACAAGGAGCCAGTAGGCGCCCCAGAAGCGTGAGCCGCAGCACCCGATCATCTTGGCAAACTCGCTCGCGTCGGAGGTGTTGACTTTACGAGCAAGAGTGTCCTAGGAGTCATCAGCAAGGTCGGCATAGGTCAGCAGAATCAATTAACATCTATAATATCCCACTAGAATGGATGTGTGAGTCCCATTGTCCATTACTGAGCTCAGGTGCTTACAATGGCGTAGAAACAAGACATTGTTCCAATGAATAGGATCAAGAACCGCAATGCCACTGAATCGGCGACTAGCCAACACACCTGTCCTGGCCGTCAGCCTTGTGATCCGCCGATATCTGTCCAGATCAACTCACCAGGACGAGTCCAACCATCAATGCAATCGTAGCCCAAGCCACCCAACTCGACTTTGCCCACCACAATGTCAAAATCCAAATGAACGCCAAGATCAGACAGGCGACTTTCGAGGCGTTGGTATCGAACCCGCAAGCGACGAGACAAGCGCCCATGAAGGAGGATCCAAGGTAGCCGGCAGGAAGAGTGATTGCTGGTATTCCCCCTCGCATCCGTGTGGACCCGCCCTCTTGAGGGTCGAGAGTGATCTTTTCGACGGTGGCGCATGTCAACACCTGTCAGAGAGATGGTCAGCGGTGGTCTATAGCCGTCCGTTTTCTAAACTAACTCCAGCTAACGCATGCGACCTTCAACAGCCATGTTCGTCAGCTCGTATTACTCGGCAGGATAGAGAGGGGACTTCGTACATCTCGTGCATGCCAACAGTCTGTGAACATCGGTCAGCAGAATACTCAGTACAAGCTTCATTAAGCACGCACCAGAAGCTTGAAGGGATAGATAAGTTTCTCGAGCACAGGTACTGCAAGGAGGAGCGATCAGACACCCTGAATATGCCTGCGTAGGTCAAGAGCTTACCATGCCTTTTAGGTGGTCAGCTACGGTACTATCGTATATATAGAGAGCGACTTGCCACTTTCAAAAGAAACACGATCAGGCGAGTCGTTGGTGAGCACCTAGCTGGAGATCAGAGCACCTGTACCCACCACTGAGAGAGGGTCAGCCCATGGCACTCGTACACAGCTCACAGCTGCGAAAAGACTTACATATAGCGATAGCGACGATATAACAAGCCCCGACTATCAGGGTCACCCTTGAACACTTGTCAGCTTCATGGGTGTCAGCTGACGATTGACCCACCTCTGGGTGCTGTTTGGAGTCAGAACCTCGGCAACATCTCTTCGAGGATATTGACGTAAGCCTGTGGGATTGTAGGCGTCGATGTAGCTGCTGGGCAGGGCGGGCGCCATTGTCTGTGCGAAGTCGGGGTACGAGGGCGAAGGGTATCTGTGCTAGAGGTATGCGACCAAGATTGTCTGTGTTATTGAGTGTGATATACTTGTATGGACGAAAAGGAAGTTTCAAAAGCAGAGAAGAATGGCAGATTCAGGACGATCAAGAATTGAAGAAGCGGTGTGTCGCGTTGAGGACAAAAGGGACTGCGCTGTCCTGTGCGCCTCGCTGTGGCTGCTTGGCGCTTCCGGTGCGAGTCGGGGCACTTGTATTGTGAGGGCATAGCAAGTGCAGAGGCTGCACCTCACAGCATGTACATATGTAGCCCAAGAGTATACGTACATGTGCGAGTAAATTATTGTGCCAAGTGAAAATCATTCGCGTGGCCACCGAGGTACGTGACCAAACAGTTCTACGCTTCATCTCGGTTGTTGTCTCGTGGATCTGCATCTATCGTTTCTTCTGCATTTTACTATATGACTACCCAATAACGACGTCCATGCTCCCGAAAATGCAGACAATCTGCTACGCCAGCATCTCGTATACGGTCTCCAAGTGTCGCGCGGCACTGGCATGGGCCAACGAGCCATATACGCGGTAACGCGTATGGTCAACATGACTTCAAAAGAATTTGGTCGCACTATCCTTGTCAAAGCCTCACACAATGAAGTGGTGAAAGCACAGGCGCTTCTCTCGTACGCAGAGAGTGGCATGGGGGCGGTTGACTTTGCCAAAGCTTGGGAACCACCTAATTCCCTCATCACAGACCGTCAAGAGTGGTTAATCGACCAGGCGGCTAGATGCCGTTTGGACGCTACTATCCTCATGGCCCTCGCTATGGCTGCGCATCCACCAGACTCTCTCCAAGATCTTACCAATGCCAACATGTATACATCTAGCAACGTCACTGCTACTACATCAGAAGGATGCCAGCCGTACTCTCCGACTCAAGGAGAAGGGAACCCGTCCTATCCGACTCGATACTGGCGTCACGGAGATACGCATCCGCCCTTGACAAGATGGCAGTCAGGGTAGTGTTGATCACCCCAGAGGCTATGGATGTACTGTTAGCTTGGGCTGCCAAGCAGGTGGGCTGCGACTATTGAGATGGAATAGGGGAGACGTCCTGTATATACAAATCTCATGCCGCCTAATCCTTATACGTACTTGCAAAAGGTCATCCCATCGGAAGTCATGGGGTTTGCTATACGATAGTCCTCTGTTGGTGATCTTCATGACGATGTGTACTGAGTCAATCGATCGCACGACATGACTATGATTACATGAAGCTTAAGAAGCTATGGTATGAACGATAGTCCGTAGACAGATTTCATAGTCTAGATCAGAAAGACAGCGCCCTCCCGCTAAGATCCGCCCTCTCTACCCCCTTATCCCCACCCACCTCCAGCACCAACCCGTCATACCCAGGCCTCACCCTGCCGCCCTCTTCCCTCCACCTCTCTCCCAACCCCTCTGCATTGCCCCCTTCGCCAAACACCCTGTCCCAGACCCTTCTCACGATCCACTCTGCCTGAGCCATATCCGGATGCTCCCTCACCTCATAGTCTCTCCCATCAGGGTCTTGTAGAGACCTGCAGACTTCCTCCCACATAAAGTGAGAGGTGGGATGGGTGCTGCCGATGACATAGGTGTTGGCTGCCTTGAGGCGGAGAGAAGCGGCCAAGGCTTGGGCTAAGGAGAAGTGGGAAGCATGGGGTTTGGTAGGCCACAGAGCGTCGATGATGAGGACGGGGAGGGCATGCTGGTCCTTGGCTGCGAGGTGACTGGGACCGCGAGGCGAGATGGACAGGTTGGTCAAATCGCTTAGCGACTGGCTCTTTGGTGGCGCACCACGAGGAGTGTCTCCACCATCAGGGGTCTCGGCAGGGGTAGGCAATAGCGTGTGGCGCTTGGCAGACCGGGGATGCTCGAGCATACGTTTCCAAGTACGGTCGGGAATGTTGCTGACGTCGGACATGTAGATGACTGACTCGTCAAATTCAAAGGCCAGGCAGATGAGTGGTAGAGGTTCCGACTTGACAGGAGGGTCGTGTGCAGTCTCGGTGTTGGTTGGAGGAAGCACCGAGTTGAAGTAGATGCCGTGATGGACTAAATATAGAGTCAGCTCATGAATACAAGTTGAAAGTCATCCGAGAGTGAAAGGACGTACCCGGTAGGACTTTGACATCGATCCCTTCGACTTCGAATTCGCCTTCATCTTCAATAATCTTCCAGATCAATTTGGGGCTGCAGTCGTGTGAGCAACAAGCATGTATGACTCGATGAAGGACTTACACATCGCCACCACCAGAGATCTTGGTCTTGTCAACCATGTAAGGAAAGGCCTCTTCGACCTTGCCAAACGTTTCTCGATTGAGATAGACTGGAATGGCCTTGCCTTGCCTCTCACACCACTCTCTCAGGTCGTCCAGGCCAAAGTATGCATCCGCATCTGTCACAGCCATCAGCGTTCAATCTATCAATTTGCAGGATAGACTCACGTCCGTGGGTCAAAAGCACCGCATCTACCGTCTTGACGCCCCACTTTGGAAACATTCTCATCGCCTGCTCTCTAAACGTCTTTCCCACGTCGACCAGCACATTCTTCCACACCCCCTCCCCGTTCTTCTTGCGCAAGACCACGCTGGTATTCCCCCTTTTGTTCTTCCAGCCCTCGGGGACATCTGGATCGACAGACGAGCGACAGCACGTGCAGGGGATATTCTTGGGCCATGGACCTTCGGGGTCGTAAGAGCCGGGGAACACCGAGTTGACAGATCCAGAGGTGACAGAGGCTGTGGAAGTCGATTGGGGAGCTGGACGGTCTTGGAGGATGGGGACGAGGTCTGACCATTTCTGAGGATAGGGCGCGGAGAGGGTGAGGCATGGGGTGAGCGGGAGGCCGGAGGAGGTGCCGGTGCCCATGAAGAGCACCTGGAGGGGGTTCTGTCCTTGTTCTTGAGCCATGCTTGTAGTTTCTAAAGTCTAGGAGGACGGATATGTATGAATTCAAAATTCAGAGATGCCGCGATTTCGGAGCGCAATAATGATAGGAGAGAACAAAAGCGCGGGGGCCCGGTCGGACCACTCGGCTTTCGTCCATTCAACACGTTTCGCTGCTGCCATGCCTCGCGAAGGCCACGTCTATACCACAGGTCTGCATGGTTGAGAATCTATATATATAAGACCAGGCTACCAAAATCTATGCCCCTACTGTCCGTAAAGAGAGAGCAGAGGTTGACAGAACACGGGCTGCCTTATGAATCGCAAGGAAAAATGAAAGTGGTAATAGTACAAGGGTAATACCGCGTGAGTAGAAGAGTCACGACAGCTTACCAGCGGCTGTTGTAACCGTCACCACCACCACCGTAGCCGCCGCCGCCTCGACCGCCACCGAATCCACCACGGCCTCGGCCACCACCACGACCGCCACGGCCACGGCCACCACCGGAACCTCGGCCACCGTACAAAGCCATCTCCTCGAGCTCAGGGGGACTGCGAAATGTTAGTGAAGATTTGAGATACAGTCGAAAAGAACTCACATGACGGCCTTGGACTCTCTCAGAATCTGGACGAGTTCACGGGCAGACTTGGAGTTCTCGGTGGTAAAGTAGGTGTAAGAAGTACCAGTCTTACCGGCACGACCAGTTCGACCAATTCGGTGAATGTAGTCTTCACAGTTGTTGGGGAAGTCGCTGCGTAACGTCAGCAAATGAAACCAGGATTGTATTCAAAACTTACTAGTTGATAACGTAGCCAATGTCTCGGACATCTGATGGTGAGGAGAGAAATGGTTAGTAATGAGACGTGCGAGGTCGACGCTCGATGGTAGACGTTGGCAGCATAGTCAATCACTGCAACGTGAGAGCGCAATGAACTCGCATAGACGCGCCAAAGTTTGCTTTGAAGAGCAGACGATAACGTGATAATGGCAAGCCGCGCGTTGGTGCTTTCGAGGTCTTGATAGGGTGTTGTCTGTCGCATCCTTCCTGAAAATGAACGCCGACCACAGCTAGACGTTGGAAGACGGTCAAGGTGGCCAGTGAATCAAAGAAGTTTCGAGCCAAACACCCCAAGACCACTTGGGCACGCAACATTCTCTCGAAGTGCTTACAGTGACTGTCAAAGGTGCTGACATGGACATAACCATCTCGCGTCAGTAGATAAGGAGTACTCACCGAGACCTCGGGAAGCGACATCGGTAGCAAGCATGATGGGGGATCGACCAGACTTGAACTCGGCAAGGACCCAGTCTCGCTCGGCTTGTTGCCTGATAATTGTCAGTAGTGGACATGGAGGCTTCAGGGTACTCACTTGTCACCGTGAATGGCAAGAGCGGGCCAGCCGTCCATCCTCAAGAACTTGGTAATGTCGTCGGCAACCCTCTTGGTACCAACAAAGATGAGGACCTTGGCGTTCTCCTGAGAGATCTTTTCGAGGTGGGCGAGGAGCTTCTGTCGCTTGTCAAAGTCGGAGCAGACCTCGACGTGCTGGGCAACGTTGTGGTTGGCAGTGAGGTCCAAAGAACCAATGTTGACCTGGATAAAGTCGTGCTGGAAGTCCATAGCGAGACGCTGGACTTCCTTGGGCCAAGTGGCAGAGAACAAGAGGGTCTGTCGGTCAGGTCGGATCTGAGAGACAATCTTCCTGATCTGGGGCTCGAAACCCATGTCAAGCATTCGGTCGGCTTCGTCCATGACGAGGTAGGTAACTCGCTTGAGATTGGTCTTGCCAGTCTCGAGCATGTCAATCAATCGACCGGGGGTGGCGACACAAACCTCGACACCTCGCTGGAGGTCTCGGATTTGGGGACCCTTGGGGGCACCACCGTAGATGGCAGTGTTCCTGATTCGGGAAGAAGCGCCAAACTTGGTGCACTCGGCCTGGATCTGGACAGCAAGCTCTCGGGTAGGGGCGAGGATGAGGACGATGGGGCCGTCACCGGGGGCAAGGAGGGGCTGGGCGTTGATGTGGACCATGGCGGGGAGGGCGAAGGAGATGGTCTTACCGGAACCGGTCTCGGCAACGGCGACAACGTCACGACCAGACAAGGCCATGGGCCAAGCCTGGCACTGAATAGCGGAAGGAGCGGCGAAACCCATTCGGGCGATTTCAGTCATGATGTAGTCGGGGAAACCAGCCTCGTCGAAAGTGGTGATGGGGCGGGGAACGTTCTTGCCTTGGATCTAGAGACTAGCGTCAGCCGCGTGTCAAATTTGAGTGGTTACGATATACACACCTTCATCTCCTTGGAGGCTCGGAAAGCGTCAATGTCAGAGTCGGATCGGGCAGTGACTCGGGGGTCCTGGACGTAGAAGCTGATGCGTGTCAGTGGAGCCGGCGATGAGGGATGAATGAACTCACTTCTTCTCAAACTTGGTGAGAGTGGTAGTCTGCCAGTCGATGTTCTGGAGACCCTGACCAAGGTTGCTCATACGGTCACCACCACCTGTAAAACGTCAGCACTGTAGATCGTGTACCCTCACGCCAGGATACATACCGAAACCGCCGCCACCAAAGCCGCCACCTGTTTATGAGACAAAGTGTTGGCCACTTGGTAACATTGATCGTGAGAAGAGACGTACCTCCGAAACCACCACCGCCGTAACCGCCACCGCCACCGCCGTAGCCACCGCCACCGCCACCGTAGCCGCCACCACCACCGCCGTAACCACCGCCGCCACCGCCTGTAAAGATGTTGGTTGAGGACTATTGTTAGAACACAAGATACGCACCGTAACCACCGTAAGACTGTCACTCGCGTCAGCCTTGTTTCTTGCACGATCAGCTCGGGCGTACCATTTTAGATGAGTTTTGTGAGTTGGGTAGAGAGTAGGAGAGAATAGATGCCTCTGTAGTGAGGATGTTTTTTGTTGTGGAGAAAGAAAACAAGAGCCAACGATGAGTGCAGGTTTGCAAAAAAGCGTTATTAACGGAAGCAAATGCAAAAACTGCTCGCCACTCGAGGACTATACGTAATACGGCGATATGAGCGATACGGCAATATGGGTGTGGCACTTCTTATCTTATCAAACTGGGAAGAGTGTTGCCATGAGATGTCATGTACATGAATCCTGAGCGTATGGTTGCTGGGAAGATCTTGGTAGATCCCACAGAGAATGTGGATGTCTCGAAGAGATTGAATCTAAGAGAATATCTGGCAAAGGGTATCTCAACGGTGACGTTGGACGACGCACCGCGACTGTAGGGGGTATGTCTTGTACAGCATCTTTCAGTCTTGGCATCCACCTGTTTCGCTGTAGGACATATACTATGCGAGAGGCGGTGGTACATCGGGAAGTAAGTGCGGAGACTTGCGTTGGTTGAAAAGTACGCGTCCAACTTGACCCTGAACGCCAGAGGACTGCTTGATTTGCATGTACTGGTATACAGGTGCCGGGTGCGCAGTGCATCAGCACTATTGCGAGTCGAATGAATCCCTTTCATAGAGCAGAGGACTTGGAAACTACGGCTAGACACGCAACGACTTGCAGAGATGGACTCAGATGGCGCAGGTGTAAAATGAGCCAGGCACGGACGCGTAAATTGCAGACATGAGGCCAATTCGCGTCTCTCTTCCATCCTCTTTCTTTCTTTCTTTCTTCATCCCCCAATGTCCTCCCGGTGTGTCCCCCCCCACCCCTCCCCCTCTCTCAAACTGACCATTCCTAGGCCCGTGGTGCGCAAGACATACGGCAAAGCGCCCCCCCGCTCATCCAGCACCGTCTCCCTATTCGACGCGTCGCCCCCTCCCACGCCGTCTCTCGCTGGACCGTCCTCCAGCGCGTACCGCTCGAGCTCGCCTTCTTTTGATCGCTTGGATAGTCCTCTGGGAAGCAGTCCGCCCCGTGCAGTGAGGGAGAGGGATGGGACGCCGTTGTTCTTTTCTTGTGATGAAGAGGAGGAAGAGACGCGTCAGTCGCGCGATGGGTTGGTGAAAGAGCAGTCTGTGAAGGCAAAAGCAAAGGCCCCGGTCAAGGTGGTGAAGAAGGCAGAAACGCAGTCGTCTTTGAAAGGCTTCTTTGCGCCGTTGCCGAAGCCCAAGAAACGCCCGCTCGAGCCGTCCCCAGCCAACTCGTCCCCCTCGCCCTCGTCAAACTCTCCCTCCAGCATGCTCGGTCTATCACGCCCTGCCACCATCACCAAATTCATCAAGACCCCCACCCCCACGCCTAGCGCTCCCGGTAAAGAAAACAAATCCACCACCCGCAAGCCCGTGCAAATGCGCCTCACCCACCTGCCTCTTTTACACACCTGTCCCCAGTGTGGCATGTCGTTCATGCGCGGGGGAGAGGATGAGGCGGTGCATAGAGTGCACCATACGCGTGTGCTAAGGGGGATTGTGTGGGAGGGCGTTAAGGTGAAGGGAAAGGGGAGAGAGGAGGGGTGGAGGGTGGTGGCTGACGATGTCGAGTTTGGGGAAGGAAAGGGCAAGGGCCGGGGGAGGGTTGTGGTTGTTGATGGATCTGTCGGTGGGCCCAAGGTATGTCATGTTTTAAGCGTGCATGGACATGGCTAACAGGTACAAGATCAATGAAATTCTTTCCACGGTCGACCTCGTCCTCTCTGCCCCGGCGCTTCCTCCACCAATCCTCGCCCAATGCAAAATCTTTCTCTTCCTTACATCCTCACCCCCTCCTCCTCCCTCCGAATCTACAGCCAAACGTCAAAAACTCGATCCTACACTAAGACAGGCAAACAAGGACGGGAGAGAGCGCGTGATCAGTGTGGTAGTCGCGCAGGGGATCAAGTGGGCTATGCGCGTACTGAAGGATGGGGAAGGAGTGGATAAGAAGGTAGTCGAGACGGGCGGCTTTGGTAGTGTCTCGTGCGAGTAAGTCGCCACACTTGGCCATGTACACCGCTGACCAAACGCAGACCAACGCATCTCCCGACGCCCCTTGGCATACATCGCCTCTATACCATTCCCTCATACCGCTCTCACCACCTCTCTACGCATCTGCTCAATGCAGCGTGCGCACACACAGTGTATGGCTGCGAGCTCGACCCGAAAAAGGGACAGGTGGCGTTCAGCCAGCCGACGGAGAGTGGGCGAAAGATGATGGAGCGGTGGGGAGGGGGCGAGGTGAGAGTTTTTGTGGACGACGAGAGTCAGCTTTGATACTTTTGGTGCTTCTCTTGAAGCAGGACGTGCTGTATTGCTTTATAATGTATACACTCGATGACATGGCGTGATTCTCGACCCAAGCCGCTTGATAAATTTTGTCCGACAATGACGGACTGGGTGGCGTTCTTTGTCTGTTTTTTTCACGCGCTGATGGCTGCTGGGTAGAAGCGTAGAAGCGTAGAGGCTGTAATGTAATAAGAGGCATGATTCGTTTTTCGGCTGAAGCGAGGACGGGGTCAGCGATCTGCAATCTCCCCAGCTCAGGGGATAGCAGATTGCCGCGCTATAGGCGAGTTTGCGGCGGGTTTGTAATCGATTTGTAATCAATCTGTAATCGATTTGTAATGCATTAGCACTCCATTAGCAATCATTTATAACCGGCGTTCGCTTCGGCAGCTTATCAAAAAAAGAGAGCTGGAACATTCCCCTTGCCCGAATCGCATCTCTTTTCTCTTTTGCCTCTCATCCATCTCCACCATTCTTTCCAGGTCAGCCCGCCCAGCCCGCGCACTCGCGAGAACACTCCCCCGCCACTTTACAGCCACCCGCGCAGCCCACTCCGCCCCGCCCCCACCACCCAAGACAGCAACCCCTAGAGGCTTATCTGCCATCCCCATCCCAGACAACAACAACAAAGACTCTATCGCAAAAATGGCCCCCATCCCTGCCGAAATTAACGTCCAGGAGCCCAAGCGCACCGGCGAGGTCAGCAAAAAGTTCCACACCAAGGTCGTTATCATTGGCTCTGGTCCTGCTGGCCACACTGCTGCCATCTACCTTGCTCGAGCCAACCTCGAGCCCACCCTCTACGAGGTGAGTCTCCGCGGTGCTGTGCCGGGAACAGAGCTGACAGAGTGCAGGGTATGCTTGCCAACGGGTATGTTTCGACTGACACGGCTCTGCAGTCAATAGCTGACCAATCGTAGTTTTGCCCCCGGAGGCCAGCTCACCACCACCACCGAGGTCGAAAACTTCCCTGGTTTCCCCGACGGTGTCACTGGTACCGAGATGATGGACAAGTTCCGTGCCCAGTCGTGAGTATTCGTTCCATCTCGCCCATCTCCGGCGAATCGGACTATGGCTGATGGCCCCTGCAGCGAGCGATTCGGTACCAAGATCATCACTGAGACCATTGCCCGTATCGACCTCTCTGTCCGACCCTTCAAGTTCTGGACTGAGGGTGAGGAGGAGGAGGCCGACTTTATGACTGCCGACTCGTGAGTATCGGGTATCTACGGGAATGCTGAATGCTGACCCCCGGTCCAGTCTCATCATTGCCACCGGTGCTTCCGCCAAGCGTCTCTTCCTCCCCGGTGAGGACACTTACTGGCAGTCTGGTATCTCTGCTTGTGCCGTCTGTGACGGTGCCGTCCCCATCTTCCGAAACAAGCCTCTCGCTGTTATCGGTGGTGGTGACTCTGCTGCTGAGGAGGCTACCTGTGAGTGAAATACACGTTGTCGGGATCCGGCTGACCAAAAGCAGACCTTACCAAGTACGGTTCTCACGTCTACGTCCTTGTCCGAAAGGACGAGCTCCGAGCCAGTAAGATCATGGCCAAGCGTCTCATTTCTCACCCCAAGGTGACTGTCCTCTGGAACGTAAGTCGCTCCACTTTCCCTTCTCGACCCCACTGACAATGCCACAGACCGTCGCTACCGAGGCCAAGGGTGACGGCGACCTCCTCAACGCCCTTGCTATCAAGAACGTCAAGACTGGCGAGACCTCCGACCTCCCCGTCAACGGTCTCTTCTACGCCATCGGCCACGAGCCCGCCACCGCCCTCGTCAAGTCTCAGCTCGAGCTCGATGCCGACGGCTACATCAGGACCGTCCCCGGTACCGCCCAGACCTCTGTCCACGGTGTCTTTGCCGCTGGTGATGTGCAGGACAAAAAGTACAGGCAGGCGATCACCTCTGCCGGTTCAGGATGTATGGCTGCGCTCGAGGCCGAGAGGCTCATCAGTGAAGAAGAGGCCGACGACGAGCAGCTCAAAACTGAGGAAGTCCACGTCCCTTCTCAGCACTACATGGGTACCGACAAGGAGTGATAGAAAAAAGTAGATTGTAATGTTGTTTAGACTTTGATATGCAGTGGCAATGGAACGCATTTTGGGCTGTATTCAAATCGTGCTTGGTGACAACAGGATGCATTTGAAGAGTCTTTTTCTGAAGCTTACATGCCGCCCATGATGTCTCTAAGAGCAGCGTCGGCCGCAGCGTCGAGATCAGCAGGAGGGGGAGGAGGAGGAGGAGCATCAGGCGCAGGAGCAGGAGCGCCGTCCTCTGGTGGGGGAGGCGGCGGCGCAGGGCCAAGGAATTCTTCCTGCAATCATCGTCAGATGCGTCACTGAACAAATCAAAAAGTGCTCACCTCGGATACGCTAGCCACAAGAATCGTCCTACCCGCAAACTGTCTCCCTCCAAGCGCCTTCATCGCCTTTTGCGCCCCCTCCACATCCTTGTACAGCACATACACCCTACCCACACCAGCTTCATCATCCGTCTGCTTGACCCTGTCTGCCGTCGCCTGCGCATCCTGCGTGCTTTCCCACTTTTTACTCTTGGGTACTGGCCGGGGAATGCGCACACCTTCGATTTCACCGTATTTGGAGCACTCGTCGTTGATGTCTTCGAGAATCTCGGCATACTCTTGGTCAGGGTAGAGCTCTTCCGG